TGCTGGTTACACGATTTATAGTTTTATTACTCTGTCGGAGAAAAAAAGGGGGGGGGGGGCGTATAATTGAAAGGAAGAGATAGCAGCTAGCCGGTGGGAGAGCCGGAGAAGGGGCCACGCAGGGAATAATCATCATGACTAAAGTTGCATCGCGGCGACGGTTTTATGGCCAAGAAGCCGCCATTCTGTATTTTGGCGGAGCATTTTTTTTTTTAACCAAACAAGCGAGATTCAATTTTCTGATTCCTCCGCAACCGGTCCGGATTGAGTTTAGTGTTGCGACACCTGGCTTCAGACTTCAGGCCCGCGTGAGCGCGGAGGTCATGGAGAGGGCTCGGGGAGGTGAAGTCATGAGTTTGTGCTCACGCCGTCACAGGCCCGCTCATATTTTTGCCCTCGGTGACAACAAGCCCATTGTTCTCCCCGATAAGGCTTCAGTGTGCACAGTAATGGGAATTAAGCCGGGCATAAGTCACGTAGAAATTGGGTGACAGCAGATCAATAGATAGTGAGAGAGCCTCAGGGACCATTAGTGAAGAGGACCCCTTTGTTTGTCCGCTGGGGATGTCCGGCTCTGAATTAACTGTAGAAACTAAGAACACACTGAGCTTTAAATATGGACAATGTACAGTTACAGGCTACGATGCAACCAATTAAAGCTGCACAGAAGGTTATTTCCTTAGGTGTATTTGCAGCGTTTATTGTCGTCTGTCCAGCTGCACTGTGTGAACAGAAGTTACGTTTGTAACACATTTTATTGTAATGGCAATAAAGTGAAAATAAAAATTCACCTTGACATTATGTTCGTGGCTGGATACCACTAGTGAGAAAATATGCTCTATTGAAATTTGGCTTGTACAGACCCACATTGTTAGCAATAATGTCCCAAGTCGCAGTTTTCCTTTGTCTGAATGAGAAAGCATAGCTGTGAGAGCGTGTGTGTGTGTGTGTGTGTGTGTGTGTGTAGCACACGTTGTGTTGACTGGGGGAAAAGCGTACAGCGGGAACGGAGACGCCCTGCAGCCCTTCGCGGGAGCTAAAGGATGTAAATGCATTAGCCTTAATCTCAACACTGTTCAAAATGATTAACCAGGTCATGACAACTCCGATGAAACAGATTCCCCAATTAAGTTCTTCAGGCAAATGCATATTGTGGCCATCACGCCGAGACATTCCCACTTAAATGCACCGATAATTTGTTGTTGCGTTGCATTATTCCTGCCCCACAACCCCAGCCGAGTGAGCAATGTGCCACCGACAACTAAAGATATTAATTAGTATATCGCGATGGCGGCACATGCCTTTTCACTATTAATAAATTCCAATTCATTGAGTTGTGATTTAATTATGAATTATGTAAATGGTTGCCACGAATCATTTAGGTCTATGCGTTTTGATAGCTGAATGGGAGAGCAGAATGTCGGCATATCACAGTGATGAGGATTTACACACTCGAGTGATGACGGCACGTGCAAGTACGACAATATTTACTTGATCACAATTTCATGTTGGCCCCCTGCTAAAGGCACGAAATGTTCCACATTAATGAATTATTGATTGATTAAGATGGGTAGAGGGTCATGTTTACCCAGAGTTCTTTGGTTTAAAAAAAAAAATGTGATGTATATATAAGTGCCCAACTATGAATTAACAAAATAATTCACATCATAATAACCACCGCTTTTGAAATTTAACATTACCAAAATCTTTGTTATTATTAAAAGGTATTTACAAGTCAAATCAGTTTACTATCACAAATATAAATGCAATATTCTGCAGAAAAATGTAATTGAACTAGTTGCTGAACTGGTTCATTTTCGGTTAATGGATTTATCCGTTAATCATCTAATCCCTAATCTGATCGGCCGCCCACATTCAACAATTCAACAATTCAAATAAGTCTGCTGCGTAGCTGATTGATGGCTGTTTCTTGGTTGGAGAAACAATATACCAATTATATTTATGTAGGTGGAATAAACAAAGAACGCCATCTTTCTGTAATAGAGACAGAGAAATGGCAACAGAAATACTTACGGGATCCATGTACCAAAGGTAGTCAATTCACATGAATAATCCAAATTAAAACCATGAAAGTGCATATTTCTATGATCATCGCCAAAACAAAATAATCCCCTTTCCCAAACAGAAATGTGCTGAATTGAAGATGATTCTGGCTGAATGGATTAAATGTACTTAACAGCAATTAATTCTAACGATCAGGGTTATTTTACGGACTAAACAATTGATTTAAACTGTTGAACAGATAAGTAGATTACATCAATAATGGGGGTTGGTTGCAGCACTGGAAAAATAAATAATAATGCAACCGCAGGACAGAGGAACGATGCAGCGGCTTAACATTTGATGACATTCTACATAGAAACTAGCTTCTATTATTATTTTATAGGGAAATCTACATCAGAGTAAAGATATCTACATCTTTTTCTGCCACTTTTCTTCTTGTCAAGTTGATGTAGTGCCGGGAACAAGGAGTATATTTGGTTTGAAGAAGGCTGTCAAATTGAACTGTCAGGCCGCACTTTTTGACGGCGTCGTATCGCTCGCCCATCTGTCAGTCAACGAGAAAGACCGCTGCCAAAGTCAAACTCGAGAGGACTCGAACGCCACTTCACTGTCCGGGAGAGCGGAGGAGTCTGAGGAGCACAGTGGTAATGTGCAGTAGGGAGTAACGTGGTTTGATGGTTGATACAGTTGTTCGTTTAAAGCTCAAATGTAGAGAGAGAGATAATAGACTCATAAATGTTCTCCGTAGTCTGTGATAAAAACAGAATATGGCCTCATCACACATACAAAGACGGCCTACCCATTTCAGAGCCCATTAATCATCGCGGCATGTGACATCACGAAACCCTTCTTCTCCTAGACAGTGGACGCGAGTCGGGACGGCCCACCAAAATTCCATCACCACAACAGCGTCGGACATTGTTCTGGCAAGAGCTGAAAACTCCCCGACCCCGGGGAGAGCGCCTCTCCGCTGGTTCGTCACGCTGTTTACTCACACGAGCGGCCCACCCAGAGGGCGGCGACACACCTCAGACCCCCACCCCCCAACCTGCAGGGAACACGTCAGCCCCCACTGCGGTCCAGACTGTGACAGTGGGCTTCCTGGGAGGAGAACCCAGCGTGACATTGGAGGCCGAACGGTCACGACGAGGGAAAAACGGCCCTTCATCCACATCGCAGTGATTTCTGCGCACCGCCGCCATCAAACCGGGGACGTGTGCGATCACCGTCACTGGACTTGTTCCAATCCTCTTGGATAGAATATTTATGTTTGTAATAATGGAATATTAATGCATTATGAAGTTAACCCCCTTCAGTGGATAAACGTGCCTCCTCCCTGCATTCAACTGGGGAAATACATTTTAAAATAGAAAAGTACAGTGTCATTTTTTGCCACAATGCTAAACTAGTTAAGGAGTGGCCACTGAAATTCATTCATTAAAAACCTTTCAACTTTTTATGTTTGGATTAAAATTAAATGTGCATGAAATAAATTCAAGGAGTCATTGATGATCAGACTTAGATCGTATCAGGACGAAGCTGTAAACAGTTTTCCCAACTAACTCAGGGACTCAATGAGTGAAAAGCTGCGTTTGCTAACAATAGCTTAACAAAAGTCCTGTTATGGAACAGTAAAGAAAGCAGCTCTGGTCTGCTTGCTTAATACTCCCCCCAAAGTCAATTATCTACAGTACTGTAGTTGGCCTGATAATATTATCTGCCTCTGCACAGAGCACACGTCTGAAGACGTGACCTTCTGTGGGCAGTTGTAACACACCTTCATATTAAAAAACGCACACAAACCCACCCAACAGCTACAAAACTGTCCAGACTTGATGCCATGCAGACTTTTCGTTTGCCACACAGATACTGCGGTCAAACCAGTGGGCATTAACGTATCTCACGAAAGCCATGTTTTATTAGAAAAAGGTGTCAACCAGATGGTCCACATGTGAATACACCAAATACAATGTTTGAAAATGGACCCAAAAGTTGATCAGAAATAACTTTATCAAAACATGTTTTGCCTCTTTCAGCCAAATACCAAACTATTTCTTTTCGCTGGAGACTAAATGTGGATCATCAGCATGTGTGAGCGTCACAGCCTCGGCAACACTGCCTCTGTGTGTACAACAACTTGCATTACATGTGCTGACCTATTTACTGTCCATAACATGCAAGTCACAATGTTGTACATTGAAAGAACTTTAACCGCTCGGTTACCATATTCAAGTTCAAAGAAACTGTTGTTTATTCCCGGCTCAACTGGCTTCATTCTGCATGTACAAGTCGTGAAATAAATTGTTGAAGATGCATGTGTACGAATTAGTCAAATTTACTTTTTTCATTTTCACAAGTGCAGCGTTCAAGTGCACGCACTGATGTAAAGGAGGAATACTTATACCACCATAGCTGCACACGGCGTCGCATTACCACGGTAAGTTGCGCCACGTCGTGGGCGTCTGTTTGACAAACCTATCACAAGGGCCGCAGCCGGTCATATGACTGTCATCGCTTCATGCCTGACCGATGCATTTGTGCAGGAATTCATTTTGGCGCACAGTCACACCGAAGGACCAGTGTTCTCAGGCAACTTGGTGAGTTGTTGTTGTTGTTTTTTGTTTTTTCTACTTTTCTCCATGAAACCAGTTTGCAGCTACGGGTGTCAGAGCTGAAGCCTCCCCCCCTGCACGTCACTTGTTTTTAGTCACGAGGAGGAATTTGTCGAGTTCACCAAGATCGATCAAATATGCATCCGTGCGATTGGGGTTTTTAGTTGGGAGTCGCCAAACATAATGGCGGGAGCGCGATTTATATAACGTGCCGTCAGAGACGCGGCAGAACTCTACGTGCCGGTCGAAGCGATTTCCATCGCAGAGGCGCTGCCGCTAACGCGCTTCGTCTGTATTCGCAGTATTACGGTAACGGCGCTCCGCCTCTATTTGCGGCATTACGGTAACGACGCTAATCCGACGCGGAAGCGCTGGTGTCGGCCGCAATCACGTTGTATCGGGAGGTAAACGCAGCTGTCGTTACTAGTCATGTCGTTTCGTAACATTTCTAAAGAGGCAATGGCCGGAACCGTCACTCTGGGGGTCGTTTTGCTGGTCGGGTATTTCTTTGGTAAGCGAGAAGAAGCAGTTTTCTACTTTAAAGCTAAGCAGTGTCGCCGCCGGTTTAGACCACTAGGGGGCAGTGGTGAAGTCTTCAATCGCTATTTATCTAGAGTGGAATAGGAAGCACACAGATTAGTAGTAAATTACCGGTAGTATTTGATGCGTTTTAATCATATGTTCTAATCTGACAGAAACAATTACTATTAAGTTAAAAAAAAGTGATTTAAAAATACTACTTTATACTTTGAACTTTTTATCTGCAGGTGTGGGTTATTAAGATGCCATGATCTTACCTAATGTTATCTTAAAATACCATATAGCGTTTCAATACATCAGTAAATACATTCATATTAATGTACTTGTTTAAAAAGTATGCAAGATCATGTCAATCTGGATGTATATTATGGTGTAATATATTGTACTGAAACAGCAGTGTGTGCAGCACTATTACCCAAGAAAAGGGTCAGAGAGCCTACAAATAAAACCCACAAACAGTTCAAAGTCCCCTTTCTACTATTCATTTTTCCCACCAGCCTGTATTGACCCTCGTAATGGCAAAAGGCAAAGAATGGAATATCCAGTAATGTACAAACAGAGGAAACACACCGTAGCATGCGTTAGTCTATAGACTAATTCAATGTATTTTGCCCAAGATGTCAGTATATTGTCTTAAAATTTCCAGTCTTCATTTTTTTATTTGGATATGTTGCTTCCAATCCAATAATAGCATCCCCCCCGAGATCATTTAAGTTTAATCTTATTGTTAACTGCTGTACATTAAGACTGGACTTCAGTTCCCTAAAAGATGTATAAACTGGACGGTCAAATGGCATCATCGTGCACTTAAGATCCTTATAATTGTTTCATGGCTCACATTTTGTCCTCAGGGAAAAAGAAATCTTCGAGAATGAGCATCTCCAAAAGTCATTGCGGGGGAAAAGACGACCCGCTGATGCAATATGTCCTCAATAACTCCTTGAGGGAGCATCCGGTCCTGAAGAAACTCAGACTGGTAAGCGCTCCTTAAGTGTCCTGAATACAGATGTGCTCTGGCACAGTTCAGCGCTGAATGTAATCAGATGTAATCACGTTTCACAGAGCAACTCCAGAGATCTAATGCAACCGGTTGTTGTTTTTTCCGCTCGTTGCTTTCAGAGGACAATGGAACACTCCTGGAACATCATGATGGTCGCGTGTGAGCAGTCGCAGTTCATGGCCAATCTGGCTAAACTAATCAAAACCAAGAAAGCCTTAGAGATCGGTAAGGCCCTTCGGACCGAACGTCACATCTGGTCTGAAATCATTGACATTCATCCACTCGTGACCTGCACTACAAGTACTTGTGCGTGCACACAAGAAGCCGCGTTTCTGAGAGGAATCTTTTTGTGCTGCAGACCTCTCCCTGCACATATCCAACTTAAAAACTTGCTTTTCCCAACAAAAAGATCTAGCAAAGCCAATCGGGTTCCCCAAACCGTTGTCACCTCCACAGAGAACACGTTTCTGATGATATTTCAGGGGCGTTTGGCCTATACAACTACTTCCTCCTCCCTGCAGCGCTCTGCTGTCACGCAGCGCTCTCATTTCAGTGGCCTCTCATTGCAGGAGTGTACACGGGCTACAACACACTGAGCATCGCTCTGACTTTGCCCGACGACGGCGTCCTGGTCGCGTGCGACGTCAGCGAGGACTACACCAACATCGGCAAACCCTTCTGGGCAGAGGTACGGTTCTCGTCCAACGTGCTCTGATGGAGGTCAGCCGGTATATGAGTAGGTGAAGACGTCAGTCTTTAGTGTTAAAAGACGACCACTTCCTATTGGTCACAGTAAAGACTTTCCAAGAATACGGCATTTTTTAAATAACTGCTCATTACTGGCTGGTTTCTCTTTCATACGTCATTTAAGATGCTTAATACATTCCATGGGATTCATAAGCAATTGGAATTTTATAGACTGTATACAATGTGTAAAGACAGTCACACACACACAGCATTATATCACCATTAGACAAAATAGCAAAAATGTATGCATGCAACTCATAAAAGACATCATGATATGCTCCAACACATGACCTCTCATCCATCATGCGTTAAACTTTCACTTTTGAAAGTAGTTTCTTTCTGTTGACAGGCTGGAGTGGAGGACAAGATTGATCTACGCATACAGCCAGCACTGAAAACTCTAGGTGCAGTAATGCAATTCTTTTCAGAACTTCCTGTTCCAGAATTGACTCATGTACAGTTTTCTGATCCTAAAGTTACTGAAGTCCTTCAAAAAGGGGCTTGTGTTGACCTCAAATAACACATTATTCCGTCATGTTCATCTGGGATGACTGAAAGAGGGTTAAATGTGAAGAAATCTAACTAGTTCCAGCTCAACTTTAAGTTCATCTTTCTTGAAAAGCCTTAACAAACCGCTTTGAGTTTCCTTTAATGAGCCCATTACTGCTTGGCAATTAACATCAGGCAAAAGGAAGTATACCAGCCAAAATACATGTTTATATATATATATATATATATATATATATATATATTTGACAACTAAAAGTGCAACGCACTGCAAATATGACAGCTGATCCATTTCCCCCCAATTAGCCACCACGTGGTACCACAATCAGGTCCAATTTAACCAGCTGTGTGTTAGCTACATTTATTAAGCTTAGCATAGCGACACAGCTGCATTGCTACCTGGAGCATAAACAAATAATAAAGACGGTCATAACGCTTCGTAAGTTTTGGTAACTTACCAGGATTTCAGGTCCGTCTGCAGCTCATATCTTTAGGGGAGGAGTTCTTTCCGAACCGAGCCAAATCAGACTCGTTCCGCCAAACGGAATCAACGCGGGGCGACCGGGACAACGTGTTTAGTGACGTTGCGTAATCGGGATCACGTGACTTCGCGAACCACCACGAGTGTGCGGAATTAGCGATGCCACCTGCAGCAACACCCGTGGAGATGATAGCAAATCCAACAAAACTCATTATTTGGCGAAGATTTAATTTAATGTTTTGATTGGACATTATTGTGTAAAACTACACTTAAGGTGGGTTTGCTTTTTTACTCAGATTTACAAAATTAGCTAAAAAGAATAATCCTTCCTCCTTTTCTGCACAAACCAGTTTTTATTTATTATTTAAGGTCCTCGTTTCACATTATTCAAAATATATGAAATGTGAGACAGATTTTCCGTACTAATGTTTATCCAGCAGTGGGAATACTGCTGACAGATAGTGTGTTATAATGTAGATTTTTAATATAGGTAGGTATAGATATAGATAGGTATATTTTTAACTCTGTTCCTTTAACTTTCAGATGATCTCCTGTCTGACGGCCAGGCTGAAACATTCGACTTTGTCTTCATCGATGCAGACAAAGTCAACTACGACAACTACTACGAGAAGTCTCTGCAGTTGTTGAGGAAAGGGGGAATCATCGCCGTGGACAACGTAAGGGCCGCCTCATGGATACATATTTACATCGAATATTTAAGCAAGCTACTCAGCCGAACTTTGTGTCTTTGGTCCTCCAGGTGCTGTGGGGGGGAAAGGTGTTGAATCCGGCCCCTGGGGATGAAGACACCGTGGCCATCGACAAGCTGAACAAGAAGCTGCACCGAGATGCTCGAGTGAGCCTGAGCATGCTCACCGTGGGAGACGGGCTCACGCTAGCCATCAAATTGTAGTGCAATGATTCATGGCTTTAAAAGGTCTACTGGGTTATGGTCTCTTTTTTAAGTTAGGGCAACTTTTATATAGGAAATGTGATAGCTAGCGGAAACATGCATTCAAAAGGTTTGAATGAAATAGTGAAAACATTTGATTAAAAAAGAAAACTGTCCCTGTATCGTTTTTGTGTTGATCATCATTCTACAAACGGCGCAACAATAATGTGAAATTACAGCAGAGGATTTTGGTTGATTTACAGACTTTATTGCAAAGGTTAGACACACGCCAACACACGGATCGCTTCCTGATTAGTGTGACAACCATCAGAAATGGGAAGAAAAGTGGATGTTCACTCTGATATTAATTCACTTTTTCAAGTCACACTGAAAATAATAATCCATTTGGCAATGTCTTGCAGCTTAGAAGAAGGTATTCAAGGTAGCGGAGGTCTCAAGGGAAGATGAGCCACTAAATCGGCCTCGAAAGTGATTAGCATAACTTGGAGTAAACCTTCCAACGGGTAGAACGTCACCTCTAGAATAAAAATATAATGTGCAAATAAAACAAAAGGAGAAAGATCTTAAATAGAGATAATCTACTGTGCAAATTAACAGCTCAGATTTACATTCTACGTTATCACACTGCAGCAAAGTAACAAAGGTTGTTTTTCAAAGCCATTCCATGTTGCTTTCACAAGAGGGTCGATCCTATCACGATTGAGGATGAGCTGGTAGAAGAAGTAACTGACAAATACACATGATTGCAACAGGACTAGTTACAAAGGGGGCTGGTGGTTCTTCTTTTTTTTTATTTTGGCTTCACCTCTTTCAAACATCTGTTGCGGAACTAGACGGGAACACGAAGGATCAGATTGAGCTGACGTTTCTCTTCTTCCTTTGAAGAGGCAGAGCAGACCCTCATGCCTCCAGCTCCAGGCCCAGACCAAGTTTGTGGCCTCCAGCATTGATGTTCTTCCCATCCACCAGCGCAGAAAGGATTAGTTTCATACCTGAAATACAAAAATGAAACATTTTTCTTCTATTAATTAAAAAAAAAAATTGTGTTTTTTAATTGGATATTAGGGCAAGTGGTTCCTACCAGGCCGGAGGGTCTGAGTGTATCCGACTCCTACCAAGCTGGAATTATTCACCTTAGCCTGGAGAAAAAGCATTAAATCATTAAAACTTCAAAGACAACCAGATTGCTTTTGTTATCCTCCGAGCTGAGACCAAGCCACACATTTAGAGACCTAAATTAGACCAAAAGGGAAAAAGCATTAAATATATACAAATATATGACATTATATTTGCTTGTAATGGTTGACGCCCCATAAATACATACATACACAAATCATTCCTGATGTGGAACCTGTCATGTTCTCAAGCCATTACCTTGTACACATCAACATATACTGCACAATCATACGTTTAAATACTGGATGGACTTATGGAAATCTGGGTAAGCAAATTCCAAACGTGTCCTATTTTTTTTTTTTATCCTATAGTTTTTAATAGAACTATGACCTTAAAAAAAATCCTTAAGGAGGATACATAGAGAGAAGAGTGAAAAAAAAGACATTTACTGATATGGCAGCACTGGAGTCTAACTGGTATTTTGCAGCAATTCCAAAGCGAGTTCCGTTGCTGCCTGCAGTCCAGGCAAGATTCACCGCTGTCTCCAGTTGGTCGTTGACCTTCTGGTAAATAGATCCACCAAACTCCGAACCATCATTTCTGTGAGAGAAAAAAACAACAAAGAAGAGCACCGTTGAACGACAAACACCACAGGAAGAAACCAATTGCGTTACGCTGCAACTTGATGCCTGGAGCGTACATATTGGTGTGCAGCTGGAAGTCTCCCGTCTTGTAACCAACTGAAAAGTTGCTCTGAGTCATCCTCGATTTGGCCGAGTCGAAGGTCATCTGGTAGCCGGCCAGCCAGCCCTCGTAGCCGGCTACGGCCGCTCCGTGGATCGTAGGACCAGCGAAATCCAAATCCACATCAACACCTGCATTCAGGTATTCCCTCTTGTAAGCAGTCTTGACCTTGCCGCTCTTCTTGCTGTTAAAATTAAAGAAAGAAGAAAATGAAGGAAGGATGTACAATGACAGCACGTGGCGATTTCTCGATCAACACATAAAGCGCAACTCACCCTGTATTTGGTGAAAACGTGGTGTCGAAAGTGAGTTTCAGCCCTTTGGTGATCTGAAGAAAATCATTCCATCAGTCACAACTTAATTTAGGGCTGTTGCATTACGTGTGATTAGAAGGAACACGGTAGAGAATTTACCTGATCCTCAACACAGATTTCTGTTCCAAGTGTGTTTTCCGTGGTCCACTTCTCCGTGAATGTCAGCCCATACTCAGCCCACTTGTACTTGGTCTCCAGGGTTCCGTTGACCTTGCTGGTGTCGACGTTGGACGAGCCGGACGTTTTAAACTCCTAAAAGGTCAAACAAGTATAGAAAAAGTAGAGTAAAAAAGTAGAGTAGTAGGAAAGTAGTAAGAGTAGTTCCTCCACAACATGTGAGGGACTTGACACGGTGGGTCACTTAATCAGAACAAATAATATTCAGAGAATTTTTTTTCTGAAGGTCGCAGCTTTTCTTTTAAATGAATTATAGGCCTTGGTTTCATTCTCCTAGAACTAATATTATTTTGTATAAAGAGTGATTGTTTGTTTGATGTGTGTGTGTTAAAATACCTTTATATATTTTTGAAATTAATAGAACGTACATTGATGATTTGTTTTTCCTAAAGAGGTAGGAGTACTATGAGCAGGTATTATGATACATAGCCCATGTTTCCAAATCCCCATTAAAAAGGTTTTGCTATTGCAATTTGTTAATACTATGTGCCAATTTGTAATAATATATCTGTCATAACCTAAAATCATCTGACAATACCTTCAGTGCACTACAATGTAATAATGCAACTATACTCACCACTCCACTTGAAGACTTTGTCTTCACATCAAGCTTAACCAGCCCAAAACCTGCAAAGAATACGAAAGAGAGGAACTACTTAATGGCCTTTGAAATGCATTTCAAACAGCTGGCCTATCCTATTAGGGTCAATAAATACACACTGATTAAACTGGCTTTTATCTTGCTTCAAGTTACCATATCCCTTATTGAATATGTCCTTTGCTGATTTTCCAAGGTCCGCATAGGTTGGAGGAATCGCCATTTTCCCCTGTAAAAAAAAACAGGAAAGTTCAGAGTTTAAATGATGAGAAACTAAAACATGTGTTACAGAAAAGTCAGAAAATAATCATGACAATTGAAAAAAAAGACATGGGCGTCTTCTCCCCATCTTCTCTGGGAATGTGTACTATATATATATATATATATATATATAATATAAAAAAGTAGGTCATGGTATTTAGAGGGCCGATTTTTAGTTTACCTAAATGGACTGCTTTTGTGCGAATTTCCCTTGAAAAAAATGTCAACCGAACTTTGACCTCCATATTGGGAAATAACAGCAAAAAGTTAAACAGAATTGCCAAAAAAAGAAAACTTGAAATCATTTAAGTTCTAAAAGGAATGGGTTACTATTTTTTACTTTACCTGCTTCAATATCTGTCAAACACCCAATATCAGCTGTTCTATTACAGTCGTAACCTCACATGTCACACCTGCTACTGTTTGTATTGTGAAACACTGACACTTGAACTCATGCGATCCGCACACTGTTGTCACCTCTCCGTCAAGGTTAGACAGCGAGGACGGTCTTCTCTCAGGAACCACAAACACAAGGGAGGACTAAGGGTGCGACAGCACACCTGGCATGAACATTGCTCAATAGCTCTTTCGCTGGAACGTTACAATTAAGTTACGTATCGGCACGATCATTATTAAAGCAGCCGGGTGTAGAATTTAGCATGTTACGGGATTTGCTGCGAGTTAGCTTAGATACACACACCGCTGGACAGTTTACTGATTCATTATTGGCTAAATGGTAAATTATACGACTCTTCACAGCGTTTGCCGGTGACTGTTTAAGTATTTTACTGGGGTTTGAACACACGAGGGTGGTAGGGTGTGTGTGGGGGGGGGGCATTTCTTGCTAGCAAATGGGACGTTCGATAACCTTCTTCGACATTTAAACAAAGTACAACTTGAACGGGATCAGTGATTACGTGGCCGAGTACTTACAGAATATTACCGGTGTCGAGTATGTTGCTGTCACGTTGCGAAAGTGGAAAAGCGCCTGAAATAGCGACAGAACCCGGCGTAGGACGATGTGGAGGAGACGCCGCAACAAACACCTTCCTGACCTCGACGCTGAAGGACCCAAAATATAGTCGTTTATCTCGAGCCTGTCGGAAATAGGAAAGACGTGCGGATTTTGTTTGGAAGTCGGTCAGTTCATTGAGTTATTTCTAGTGGGGTTTGACGGAGGTAAAATAAAAAGAGTTGGCAGTTTTTCGTGCCAAATAGGAGCAGCCAGCACACCGGCAGGTGGTAGACACCTATGTAACCATGGCAACCCATATGCTAATCTCACGACATATGTCGTATATATCTATATGTCGAGCTGTTATACTCTTTGGCATTTTCCCATTACCTTCCCAAATGCCAAAAATAGAATTAATATATAACACACAGCTGTGTAACACTTTACTTTACAGCTCTCTTTTTTATATTATCTATGTCATAATTCATTCAGTTTATTTGACAAGGACTACGCAATAATACTAAACATATATTCCAATACTTAAAATGTGATGCAATCTACATAGTTATAGATTTTTTTCCATCAAAGTTCCCTGGCAGATGAACAATAATACGCTCTGTCAAGAGACTTTGCATAGAAATATTACAAAAAATCTGTCTATAAATAGTCATAAGATGCTGTTACAATTCTTTATTTTTTCATATTGATTGCAGTTCATAATAGTATTAGCCAGTTACTGTGAAACTTACCCAAAGGTTAGGCGTGGTGTCATTCCACAGATCTTATGTAGCGATCTTAAATTATGGGGGCCTGCAACAGTACAAATAACAAAGAAAAAACGAATCCTAGTCCAGGACCGTGTTTGTAAAACATAAGTATTGGTTGCTCAGTGTTTGTCCTTATATAATGAACATATATTGTAACAATAATTTTTTGTATACAAAAAGAATGTAAGAAAGTGATTTGATTTGATTTCAGCTCTTTAATGATTAAAAGACTGAACAACACATGAAGCGATTAATGCGGCTTTGCGCGAGCACATAATCATTCCTCAATAAAAGAATTAGTTGTAGAGCGTCAACTCCATGTAGAATAATCTCTCTAACACACTGTAATAATAATAGCAGCTATCTTACTACAGTGGTAGGTTTCACACAATGAAATGTAGAGGCCACTCTGAAATCAACATTACACTTAAAAAGCACATTGTGTTTCAAATAAATACATAGTCATGAGCAACTGTAAACATATTTCTTCATGTGCATGTCGCTGGAACATCGTATATTAAATATAAAAATACCTATTGACTGTTACAAAATGAAATAAATTAATATAAACAAATACATACAAATTTAGAATCCTTTTAAAGAACTATTTCTACCAGTAAATTTCAAAGGATTATTATCATTTATACTTTAAGCTGTGTTTTCTTTCTTCTTCTTTTTTTTTAAACACCATACGTCAATCAAACAGTGAATATGAAATATTTGGGACATTTCTACACAGAGAAACATAACACTCAAGGTAATTGGCAATTGGAATTATACTTAAGACAAGTGGAAATCAATCTTTGATTCTATGTTTTGGCTGATAAGGACATTATTATTATTACTACAGCAATCAATAACTGTCAATATCAAGTAATATTATTCCTATTTCAAGGAATGAAAAAGACTTGGGACGGCAGAGAAGTAGCGTCTGTTACTCAGAATTATGAACATTTAGCAAAACAGAAAACAGCGTAACGTGGATCTTTACATATTGCTCTAACAGTGGTCAGTAGATGTATATTTTGACAACGGTGGTCCTTAGAGTCATGTTTCGATAACAGTGGTCCTTAGAGTTTACAAAAGATCTGAACAATCCAGACCTAAACCTGGAAACGAGCGGGTATTTTAACTGCACAGAAGACGGCGTATTGCTGTCGAGGATTAGGGAACCTGCTGCCTGAGAATGTTTTTATGTGGCTTCCTGTGATCGTGTGCTCTCCAACTACTCAAAACGGGCTTACGAGTAAGTCTTAAGGATCGGAGCTACTAAAAGGAAAGCAGCTCTGCTACATAAAATGATATCCCTTTAGACGCAGGCGACACATTTCCACTGTGATAACTTTTCAAAATGTGTGTGTGGGGGGGGGGCTCTGAGAATCTCTGCATGGTTTTTGAGGATCTAGTTAAATTGGTCTAAAAGCGCGGCCGGCGGGGAGGGGGAGCAGGTTTCAAGACAAATCACAGACTATAAGAAGGTATGGCTCTGTGTATCCTATCATGCCTCGGTGCTAACAGGATCTCAGCGGCGGCCCTTCGTCGAGGACGACGTCACACGGCGCCTCCGTTGGCAGCTGGACAAAGCGCAGTACGCCCGGCGCGGGCTGAGGAGCGTCTGACAGCACGCCGCCCGTCATCCGATAAGCCTCCTTATCACAGCCGGCCTGGAGAAAGGCCAACAGTACTCGTTGGGTACGGGGACGTTAACGTTGCACTCGAAGAAGGAGAACATGGGGAACCAGATGCGAGCACGTCGACTCTGCTGGTAGGCCCGCGTGTTGGCCAGCGTGTGGTAGTAGAGGAAGAGTCTGGTCGTGATGTAGAACGCGATGAACACGTCAATGGAGTAGTGTTCGTGGGCGGCCAAGATGAAGAAGATGCCGAAGAGGTTCAGGACCCAGGACAGCGTGTGGATGAAGTTCCAGCTGCGCGGGGTGTCTGTTTGTGAAAGTTGGAAGAAAGAACCGTCAAAGAAATTAGCTTTGTCGTTGTGGAGAGTTTGAAAGCTTTCCAGAAGTCAGCCCCATCCTGAGATCCAGACTACTTCTGTCCAGGGGAGACGGGGGAAGGCGAGATGTTATTGTCAGTTGTAATACAGTTGAAGGACTCTGGGTGGCAACAAAGAGACAATGGTCCCAGATTACAGTGTTTCTTCTTGTGTCATCCTCGTGATTTAGTACTTTAACCATCTGATGTCAAGGCTGTTAATAACGGATCATAAATTACTAGGATTGTCATGAATGAATGTGGACGAAATCAAGTAACTATGGCGGCAAAAGGGATTTGTACGCAAGTCACGCTTGAATTTTAAAGTCTATAGATTTTAGTTTTTCAAAAAGGTGTTAACTTTACAATACAGTTGACCTTCAACCACAATGCGGAAGACGAGATATCAGAGGCGTATTTCGGTTTGGGTTTTAAACAAAACAATCCCCAGCAGACAAGCACCTACTAAAAAGCACTTGGTCTTTTGCCAACACGTTCACTCTTGATGTTAAAATGTTTAGTATACATTTGATTTGTCCTTTTCCCCACTGAATAGAACACAACATGATCAAATAAAAGCTACTCACACTCGGTGACAAAGAAGTTGAGCAAGGTAATGACCACGGTGTGGCCACTGAACATGTAGTCTCCACAGGTATGCACTCCCGTCAGGGTCATCCCGAAGCCGGTCCAGATGGCCACAGCGCGCTGCAGCTTGGCCCACATGTCCCCATACATCTAGACAAAGACAGGAAGGGAAACGGTCAAGGGCCGCAGTCTTTTTTACAGAGCTGCAGAATCGTAGAAAAAGTCACCAGGCGTTACCTTTCCTGAGCACTGCAGGTGCTGTCCTGGCACGGACAGCGAGGTTACAAACATGGTGATGCAGCGCAGCATGAACACCGTCCCCATGAGGCTGCACATGCGCCGCAAGAGGATCGACCTGCAAGTCGGGACCAACGGTTAACTTCCGAGGCAGCCGCTTAATTGACACGGACACCGATTTTCTTGGTAGATTGCGACACGCTGGTACCAATGTTCCCAATAATAGTTTGTCTTTTATTATGAAATTAAAAGACAATTGTATTCCATAATAAAACCCTGACAATAGGGCCGTTTACATTTGATCCTATATTGCATTAAGTTACAGGAGCTTCTCTCAGCTCCAGGTTACTGAAATTATAAAATCCAAATGAAAATGAATTGCAGTGTATCCCACTTTTACAAGCTTTGTGTTCACACCGGTGACATAACGTGTTTTTGCGACGGGCGGCGGGTGTTTCAGTCTGTGCTGCTGCTGTGAGCACAACGTCGATCCTTCATCCGGCACAATGAATCAGATATATCAAACTGTTCGCCGGTCATGGCCGATCGATCAGTGCCTCTTTAAACGATGTGAGCGCTGTCAGGTCCTTCACCTGTGCTTATGGAGCAGCAGAACCAACAACCAGATGTTACAGAGGATCACGCCGCATGCTTCAGCCATGGCGAAGGCCCACGGTATTCTGGGCACACTGTGGGAAGGAGACAAAAGGAGCGATTAGTACTGAAATGACGAGTCCACAGCAAATTCAAAACTACTCCGCTGATCTTTCTTGAATGAGAGGATTTGCAGCCGTTATCAGTTTTATTTCATAGTGCGTTGAACATATTTAGGGGGTGGACCGTTAAAAGAAGCAACGTTAAGAGATTAACCAGTAATGACATCATTGATTAAATCATGAATTAAACATTAGACTCAGCCCTAAAAATACCCCTGTCACGTCTTTTGGTTTAGTTATATTTCACACACGTTCTCATTGTGATGTTCAAAGATTAATAGGGAATTCTAAATAAGAGCATTTGGGGTTGACTGTAACATGTTTTAATCGTTCCTAACACATGTCACACAAATACAGTCACTTCGATTAAAACCACGAACCAAAGCTAGCCCATTAGGAATAAGTGAGGATAATAATAGAGACGTGCTACAAGGAAGTAGGGCGGTTATAATATTCACCATCTGGACAGTTGTATAGGTGAGTGTATTTTTCCCCACTCACTCTTTGGCATTTCACAGTTGACATATGCACTTTTTTGTGGCTCTTCCGTGCACCAGTTCGGAGAAATAACACACCCACCTGTCTAGGAAAATATCCGGCAGTGGAGGATACGTGCGCATGTCGGGCACCCTCTCGTGCACTATGACCATGACGAAGGACGTGAACCCAAAGACAAAAACCACATAGATGGAGCTCAGCACTGTCTTCCAGTACTCTGGATCCAGGCGCCTCGTCTGCTGCTTGAACTTCCCGTTGGTGTACTGGTGATACTCCTCCCCAACCGGCGCCGTGTCAGTGCTGTCACAGTCTCGGCCCGGGTCACCGTTACACATCCAGTCCAGACTGCCCCCGGCGCCGTTAGGAGACTGCCCGTCGAAGGGGAGACCCAGCTCCTCCAGCACGTCGATGTTCTGCTTCTGCAGCTTGCGGATCGACACCATCAGCCGCTTGATGTCCCCGAGCACCTTGAGCTCCAGCGGCGGCGAGCGGAGGTCATACTCGCTGAGGGCGAGCAGGCTGGTGCCGTCCAGCCGGTGCTTGTTGCACAGCAGGTCCACGTAGTCACAGAAGCCCTCTTCCCTCAGCCACTTGGCGACGTGTTTGGGCGTCCAGCGACGGACACTCGGGTGGCTCATTTCCTCCTCGCTCTGAAGGCCGGAGAAAAAGAACACTCAAATCAAAACAAGACAGAACAGCTGAGCTGCCATGTCAGTTCCTCTTGGCTTCCTTGCCAACAAAGAAGTCTCAAGAAGTAAGCGTTACCAGCTCTTATTCCCACTGAATCAGCAATACTAATTGCAGACAAACCGATCAACGCTGCCAGTGGACAGAAAATAGCTTCAGTTACATGAGGATATTGGAGTCCTCCCCTGAGCTACAGCAGCAAGCCGGGATCTCACAACTTGAGCTAATATGTGACGCAAAAGCTGGCGAGGATTTGATTAGATAAATGTGCGCTGACTCCAAACATGTTACTTTGATTAAGTAGCAGACACATTGCCTCCCCCTGGACAAACAGGGGCTTTAATACTTTGAGAATAGTTGTAAATGGATAATGACTAATCTTAATGCGAGACGATCTATCCTACACACTAATCCGAAGGATCCTCGTTTAAACGTCAGTGTAAGTCTGGTCCCACGGTGACCAACACATTCATTGTATAACGACATAATGGTACTTTCTTTATGGTTTATTGTGCAGTGATAATTTAGTATGGTTACTTTATCTAGTAAAAGAACCACAAAAAAAACACCTGCAATGTCCCACACTGTCTTTCAATGAGGTGCGGCCAGCAGCTAATTTGACCAACTTTTACTCAATATTCTGTCACGGGAAGATAACTAATCCACCTGGTGAATGTAACCACAATCGTGCCCGATTCGGGTTAAACAAAGAAACCAAGCGAACGTGTATTTTCACGTATCCCTGCAACTCCTCACCAAGCAGGCTAATTCAGCTCTAACGTTAGCCGACGTTACGCTAGCATGCTATGAGCTAGCTAGCTCGATCAATACGTGTGCCCTTTAACGCTCACTCACCCGGACTGAGGCGTCACAGAAGACGGCGCCGAAACGTAATTATTCGGCTAGCTCGCTAAACGGCATCTTACAAGCGTGTGGGTAACTCGTTTCAGCGGTGGCTTGTTGAAAATCATTTCGCCCCCCTTGTTTCGCGGTGGTTAGCATAGCGTTGACAACACCGGGCCGTAATGCACAGAGAAGCAGCGCACGTAAAAAAAATCCGCTGCACGGGGGCCCGGCGCCAGCTTTGCGGCAGCGACACCTCCTGGTGAGAAGACGATACTGCCGAGTCTTTCATTCTGCAGAATTGTCATTGTTACGAATATAAGTAAAACTTTTGTGAAATGAACTTCCTCCAGGTAGCATTACATGCGTATATTAAAGGTATATAGAGGTGTGAGGTTGAGCAACAATTCGATATTAGGTCACTGATTTAATTATAGACAAGGGACACCTGACCTTGTCAGTACCGACGAGAATGTTGCATAGCCTCAACATAGCTTGAAGAAGGAGAAGAAATCAAACAAATGAGATTCACAAAGTCGACTATGAACACTCTGCAGCAAAGTAATGCAGTTTCTCCCGCCACTCCGTCAGTGAAAGACTTGGTGAGGCTTTTGTATGGTGGAAAGAGGTTTGGAAATCACGTGGATGAAGTTTGGCCTAATTTATTCATTGGGGACATGTGAGTTTTTGACATTGCCCTTGACAGCTTATTATCTGAAATGAATGCAGGATCGCTTCCCTCAAATGTGTTTCCTGTTAAGATTCCTGTTTCTTTTGTCCTCAGGTCAGTGGCCAATGATCGCTACGGTCTTTGGAAGCTGGGTGTCACTCATGTTCTGAACGCAGCTCACGGGAGGATGAACTGCCAGGGGAGTCATGACTTCTACGGCTCCGCTGTGGATTATTATGGCGTGCCTGCAGATGACTCACCGTCCTTTGACCTCTCTCGCTATTTCTTTCCCTCCGCTGAGTACATTCAGAGTGCACTTGAAACGGATGGTGGTAAATGCACGTGGTGCATGGTTTGCTTTATCGTCCCTCAGTTTTCCCTCTTATCCAGAGTGGACTCCCTGCATCAACCCGTGCTTTCTTCTTCTGTCACCAGCTCGGGTGTTTGTCCACTGTGCAGTCGGCGTGAGCAGATCTGCCTCTCTCGTCCTGGCCTACCTAATGATCCAACACCACTACACCCTGCTAGGGGCCATCAATAAGGTCAAAGAGCGAAGATGGATTTTCCCAAACGGCGGATTCCTCAGACAGCTCTGTGCTTTGGAAAGGAAACTACGCGAGACATCATGAGTAATCCTTTGCACCTCATAAACCTATTGATTTTATAATTACAGAATCCCAAACGCCTGTTTTTCTCAAGACAAATGAAGAATTCAGTGTCCACCAGTGAAGGGATGTACTGTACTTTGACTTTAATCATTTTGTTTCAAGAAGGGTATTGAATCTATTGACCCTGGCGCTGTGTTTGATGTGAGTCATGCTGCGAATTCACGGGATATTAAACCATATATTAGGAGGAGATCACTGTAATCAACCCACCCTTAAGCGGAATCCATTTCACGACTGAATATGAGACAGAATGACTAATTTAACCGTTGTGTTATGATGAAAAGAAATTGACATCCTGTTGTGTTTTGTATTCTGTCATGGGCAATAAATATACCATTTAGAACACAGTATAGCTCTAGTTGCAAGCATAATAAAATATATTTAAAGGGATTGGCGTGGTAATCAGGTATATCTCACCATATGAAGGATGCATATCTGGTGTGTAAAAAATTGATTTAGATTGAGAATAGTTCTCCCCTATTAGACTTTGAAACAGCCGTTACACCAACATGTTAAGATAAGATATATGATAACAACATTATTAGAAAATATATTCAATTCAACAGTTCATTGAACAAATACATCTTCTCCTGATTCTACGGATAAATTAAATGCAGATAAATGCAGATTCCCATATTCTTTTACAACTTGATTTGGAATGAATTGAATATTTCTAAACTACATTCACTGTTTCTTCATCACATCAGGTGAGATATGGTCCTGCCACACACACACACACACACACACACACACACACACACACACACACACACACACACACACACACACACTGTTGATTAATCAATAAGCAGAAGGAACATTTTTAAATAATCAGTCGATAACTGTCTGAAAGGTCAAAACGACCAGTAGACTGACTTTTTTTTTTTACACAACATCAGTACTGGATTTTTACAACGCGCCATCACGCCCACATTTTACCTTCTCGTTCACGGCCCTGAATGAAGAGAGGTCGTTACATTTTATGGAGGTTAATTATGTTTTTCTCCCATTTAAAAGCTGGAACCCGGTGAAATTGACCTGCAGCTAAGCAGGACGGTTAGAAGAGACGCTCGCAGCAGCGTGTGGGCTGTTTGATGTCATGTGCAGCCAGGGGGCAAAATCAAATATTTCCTTCCCTTTTCAGTTAGTTTGCTCTCACAGATATTCATGTCAGAGCAGCAAACCAGCTGCACGAAGCTGTTGCGGTATATCAAATCCATAAATGCTGCATTAATAAAGTGGACTTTTCTGTCCTACAGTATAAGCAATACACTTAAACACAACATAATGGAATTATTCATCTCTGTTTGGGGTTTATTAAATTAGAGGGCCACGACGGTGTGAAACGCAGAGCTCCGGCCGCTGTTTGTTGTTCTGCCCTCTGCACGAGTAAGACTACACGCTAGGTTAAGCACTAAATTGGGTAACTGTCCAGTGACGGCAGATAAGCACCTGCTCGTCCAGATCACTCTCGGCCGAGTAGACGGCAACCGCTCGCACACAACAGACATTTGGGACAGTCATCGATTCAAGACGGGGCCCTTGGACTTAAAATGACAGACTCCAAAGGCAAGAGAAAGGAATATTTAAGTGTGAAGGATCTGCAGAAGGTTTTGGACTCGTGCAAGCTACATCTCAGACAAGTTGATGAGGTCTGGCCAAACATTTACATAGGCAACGTGTGAGTATTCTTTTTATTCCCGACTAAAACAGTTTGCCTTACAGGTACATGCGAAGCCTGTGACGTTGTAATGTTAAACGGCAATGATCTTGTCAAATAACTTCTTTTCCTAGTATATAAATATTGTGCTATGATGCTTACCCTTTACATACGTCTTGAAACTCTTTCTGTCTCTTTGTCTTGCTAGGGCAGTAGCCCAAAACAAGACTACCTTGCTGAAATTAGGTATAACTCATGTATTAAACGCTGCTCACTCCAAGCGAGGCAGCATAGGGAACCAAAGCTTTTATGGCAGCGGCTTTGTGTATTGTGGCATTCCAGCTGATGACTCGACACACTTTGACCTGGATGTTTACTTCCAGACTGCAGCTGATTTCATTCATAAAGCTTTAAAGTCACCTGATGGTAAGACCCTCTTCTTTTTCAAATGGTCATATTTCTGCACAGTGAGTTTTAGTTAACTGCAAAAATCGTGTTTTTTTGTTTTTTCCTGCACGTTTCCTGCGTGTTTTATTTCACTCTGTAGATCCTCAATAAACTCGCCTCAAAAAATCTACTAAACTTCTAACATCATGCTGTCCTTTGAGTGATTTCTGTCACCACAATGTAATAAAACTTAAAGGTATGTCAGTGTACTTTTGGCCAGCAGTCGTAATAAAAGTCTTCAAATCTATATTGACCATGGATCCCTTCAAAGAAGCTATCAAGCGGAGGACAAGCTGGGATCAGAGAAGCAAAGGGACCTTAAACAAACATAAGACAATGATTTTTAGCCGCTATTTATAGCTCACAGCATGCCGTGAGACGGGCAGTCATGTATGATACTAATAAAACCAAGGCCTCTCGCTAATCCCGCCTTCCCACCACCGTCATCTTGTCTGTTCTTCAGGGAAAGTCCTGGTGCACTGCATCATGGGAATGAGCCGGTCATCGACCCTGGTGTTAGCCTACCTCATGATCCACCGCCACCTCCCGCTCAAACTGGCTTTGCAGAAATTGATCCAGAAGAGAGCTATCTACCCCAACAGGAATTTCCTGGCTTTGCTGTTGGATCTGGACCTGCAGCTGAGGAGAAAAAAGAAAACGTGTCAGATCCTGTGACCACAAGTTTACACTTTTCAGCCACAGAGCAGCACGCGTGGTGTCTGAAGACGGGGATCCCAGTCAGTCCAGACCGAAAATACTCAAGATGAACTGTTGGGAAATTTGGTTCAATTTATGACTGAATTTCTGTGAGACTCGGCTGCACTTTGAGATTAACAACATATCATGTTAGCATACATTAAAAACAGGAAGAACGGGAAAGCGTTTTGTTATTAAGTTTAATGCATATTAACTTTAATGCCGGGAGGCAAATTAGAGAATCAATATTTCAGCACGATACTTGAAATGTTAGCATGCTCACATACGAAACATCCTATGCTAAATATTAGCGAAGTAAAATTGTGGTATTGGGATGATGGAAGAATTGTGTAAAAATAATGAATGAATGCCAATAATAAGAATATTTTATAAATATTTATGTCTTTTCAGTTACTTCTCATTCTTGTAAGATTTCAGCACCTCATTTATTAAAGCAGAATGGACCAAATGTCTCGCGGGAAATGTTTTTACAAAGCATCATTTTCTACAGGATGACTCATAAAAGATAAAACATGTTTCTGCATGTCAACATTTACTTAAAACGTGAACTCGGCCTTTAGCAAAATCACTGTTCAATTCCTTTGGGCTGTTCATCAAGCCAGTTGAGATGATTACTGAACATCAGAGGGTTTCAGATATTTAGTTGCAGCAATGACTCCTCCCTGCTTTATGATTTCATATTTAAATTATACTCAGCCTCACTTTATCACACAATTATACGGCATGATTGGTTCTCCTGAAGCCAAAGTTCAATTTAATTATTTTTTGTCACAAGAAAAAAAAAACTGTAGGAATTTCTGCAAATTAACTTGAGAAGAAACGCTGCATTGTTTTAACATACGTATGTTCCCCTTTGTTGTGTGTCTGTTTCTGACATACTGTAGACTGAGTATTTCTATAGGGCAGTTGTGTCAGCGTTTCTGTTTTATTTATTATGTGATCCACATATAAAGTAAAAGAAAAAGTCCCGACTTGGCCGAATATCCAGGTGTTGATTTAAACACATTTCAATGTGGAGGAGAATCTCAGTCGACACTTTAAGCTCAGCACCGCTGATATATTTCTCCTGCGAGTGAAAAAGCCTCCTGTGCTGGTAGCTCGGGTAACCCTAAAGGAATGCAGAAGAGGACGCCAGAATTATTTTAGGCTGAGATTCAGATGTTAAAATAGCAAAAAGAAAAAGGTTGCAGGGTAGATTGCCAAGGAGAACGTAGACGGTCGTGCTGTCGACCTACATGTAGCTCTTTTACAGAGAGCAACGTTTCCAGCCAAGTCTGCTAACATTTTTTTTGTGTTAGAAATGTTAATTCATGCAAATAAACGAGGATGTTCTCTGATGATGCTGCACAACCTGATCGATTACCACACTTTTTTTTCTGGTATTAATTTGCTCACAAATCCAGACAAGCCACATCCAAAAGGCCAAAGAGGGGAGTATGATTCATAAACCACCAAGAAGAGGCCCGAAGAAGGTAAAAAAAAAAAAAAAGAAGCCATTTTCATTTGCCCCCTGTGTTAACCGCGGGCACTTTCCCAAACATAGCATCTTTAATTACACAGAAGTGGAGCAGGGAGGACAGGTTAGCCTGAGGGGGGAAGCTATGAAAGCAGCTCCGCAGCTCAACATGTGCACCAGGGAAATCAGTTCTCTGCCCCCACTGTGGGAGGCAAGGAAGGGTTGTACTTATAGATGAATGAGGAGAAAGAAGAGCCTCCAGGTTCTCCGGGCACATGTTGCACTTGTGCAAAGACACACATTACCTCCAACAATCACAAGCTCATATTCATGGGGCATATGCTGGGTCAGATGAAGCTTTTTTTCTTGCACGTAGGGATGCATGAAGCTGTCATGACGTTTGAGTACACCTCAATATGCCGGGGCAGCCTGACAAAAGGTCACTGAGACAGATTCGGTCCCTGTGGACACGGCAATAAGTCTCCAAACCCCGAGTGTCAGGTTATGTCCCCACATAAACCGACAGAATGCAAATAAGAAGCGGAGCAGCCGCCGGTTTCCTCTCTATTACAACGCACACACATAGTTTGTACATCCTTAGCTTGAAGCAGAATTAAACAGCTGCCTAAATGGATGCTAATGTATACAATGTGCATGCTAGAAGTCCCTCACGAGCCCGATGTGTAATTTGTAAATGTGCAGGTTGGACTTTTCTGCAGGAAGTGAAAAGCTGATGTTCATTTACCTTGAATTCCTATCTCTAGGGACAAATAAACCCACCCAAGTGCTACTGAACTGTGGATAAAATAATGAGAGCTTCATAAGGTCATCTCACAATTATGTGTTCATGTGGTCCTTTGCTGCTGTGCAGTGCATTTATTGGCATAATTATAGTCTGTATTTATAGGCGACGGGTTTCTATACGCGATGTTGTTTATCTTTTCTGTAATCCCCCTTTGTATTTCTCTTTCAGTGCTGCCTCTCTCTTCAATAAAGACTATTAGAAATCATCAGTGGAGTTGTCAAGAATCGAATGGAAAATCAGATGGCGTATGAAACTGTTTCTGCATGGTTCTGTGTTTAACTGCAGATGAGCAAGGCTAAGAAAGAAACCCATTTTCATGGCTTTTGATGCCTATAATTTCACAGCAGGGACCCGTTCAGGTCAAACTGCTGGTTAGTCATAGCATCATATGTGGCACCTCATTGTGACAGATAGTAAAAGCACAAGATGAGCATGCAGACATGCCCTGAGGGGCACGACGCCCCCCCCCGTGGCCTCAGAGCTCCAGAGGCTGATGTGGACAATGAAAGAGACCAGCAGCCATCTGGATGAGGTTCAGCTCAGGAGCACATTGGAGACACGCGAGACCGGGCATGCTAATTAAATACATACAAATCGTCTCAAACGAAAAGGTCATAAAACTGAAGGTTACTTTTATAAAGCCAATAAGAACACTGCCTTAGCCTTGATAAATGGTTTTTTTTTTAAGTTAATAACTTGAAAATAATTAGTAAGCACTTTTTAAACACAGTTGTATTTCTGCTCATAGAGATGGAAAACCTTTCTTTCACTTTTCTGCACCGATCGTTATGCTTTTCCCTTTTAGAACGCGGCGAAAGAGGCTCCACCAACATCACCCGTGTGCTGCGCTGAATGAGCCACGGCTTCTACACACACACATACACACACCACGTGTTTTCACCTGCCATCCATTAACTTGAGTCCCTTCTTTTACGCAGCGGCCAATTTTCTCAACACAGGTGAGGAGCTCCCTGTGTTTTTCTTTTATTATCATTTTTAACTTGGAGGGCATGAGACATTTGTCAGTCAATTCCCAGTACAGCAGCCCCCAGTTAGTCATAAAAATGCAAATCAAACACTAAACATAATACCAAGCGACGGTAATCTCCTCATAAGCTCAGACCTCGGCCAGGAAAATTGGTTTTAAATTGATTGCCCTGGTAATTTGTAAGCAACACTTTCATTGGACATGGAAATTACACAATTTCGTTTTGTGGCCTCCGCCTGCAAAGGCCCGTTACGCAGAGCGAAGCCGGTATCTGACGCGACAGTAATGAGACGGGGGCCTCCTCATGCAGACGCTGGCTGATCGGGGGGCTCCAGTGTGTGGCGGGGCCTACAGTAATCCCCAAAATACACGGGCGCCAAGACAGTTCAATTACGCGCCCTGTGCTCCCTAATCCCCGGGCCCGATAAGGAACCGGGGATTACTGTGTGTAGAAACATTTGTTGCAACATTGTTGAAAACTTTTAGTCAGGAGTTAGAAGGGCTCCTCTCCGTGACGTGAACGGTTTTCAATCCACAGGAGGAGAAGTCACAAGTTAGACAAGAATAACGTCCACTCCGATAATCCCGTCAATGCACGGTTGTAAATGCAGACATTGAGCTGCGATCCACAGGACGTGGACGTTTTCTACCGCGGCTCCGTCCTACCTGATGATCCGCGGAGCGCCAACGTGAACATCTGCCCTGACAGCGGTTTCCTGGAGCAGGAGAAAAAGCCGATCAGGGATCATTGAGGGCAACTGGCGGACTTGAGATACAATCTATCAGTTTGGAGATTTGGATTGAACTTTTGTGGAGATAATGTTGAAACACACTGTGATTATATTTTCTTTGTCAAACAGGTGTACACATGTAGTTGCATTGGGTTACAGACGCCTTCTTTAGGATAACAGGTATAAAGAAAGAGCAGCTAGTGGGTTAATTTACTCAACCAACATTTAAGTGTGTAGAGCCAGGAAAGCACCTCTAAAACACGGTATGTTATAAGAATCTCATTTGTTTGACCCTGCGAAATAAACGTGACGCTGTTCTCCTCACTAACTCAGAGCAGAGGAAGCAAATAAATATTTTCATTGATAAATTGAGGTATACCTTTTAAGGCAAATTTGGAATCTGAACGTCTATAATTTCTATGACAAACTCCATCTGATCTTTCAAACGATTGAAAGCACACATTAATGCAGCGTGGGCCGACTCGATGACGCATCCCCCCCCCCCCCTCCGGCATGTTTCATAACACTAATACGTCCACAAGCCCACCCTTATGGTTCGGAAGCTAAAACGGTTTCAACACCAGCAGCCCGGCTTCTGTCGCGGCCGCGTGTGGAATAAATAGTTCACGCTCAGACTCTCAGACGCGTCTTCTGCCGTCTCGAGTTTACCGTGGTTCCTTTCCAAATGCCTACAGGAAGTGTGTGGGGGGAGGGGGGGGGGGGGGGGACAGGACGGCAGCAACAAACCTCCCACATTTTCCAATCTGGAGCACCAGGCCTTGATATCATCTCACTGTTAGAGATGCAGATATGAGCCCGGAGGAGGAGCCCGAGTATCGGACACCGCCCACCTGCGAGCTGCTCGGCCTTCTGCTGAAGAACAGACGCCCCACTGGAGCCGTCAACGAGTTTGCCCCGATCTCTACATCGAAATCGCGTAAGTGACGTTCTCACTTCGCCCCCCCCCCCCGCTGCAGTATGGTGATCTGATTGTGAAACCCCGGGGGGGGGCGCAATATGACATCTGTACATCTGAGTCACCGGTGATGCCTTTGCATCATCTCCTGTGTTGTTCACAGGGCGACGGCTCAGGATAAATCCCTGCTCGCGGGTCTGGGCGTAACGCACGTGGTGAATGCCGCAGACGGCCCCCGGCGCATCAGCACCGGGCCCCGTTTCTACGAGGGCACCGGCATACGGTATCACGGAGTGGAAGCAGCGGACTGTAGAGATTTTGACCTGAGCCCGTTCTTCACTGAGACGGCCGACTTCATTCACGCCGCCCTCGAGCAGAAAGGTACATCGGCTCCATTGGAGTCGCGCCAAACAAAAATGGCACATTCGGCTGGATTATACTGTGGATCCTTTCACAACGTAATGCATATACACATGTGATAACACCTGAAAACTTGATTGTAATGCTAACTGTATATTATGGTTCACCAAAAATGCAGAAATGACCAGCGCTCATTGGTTAAAGCCCAACTGCTGCTTGCTTGCTGCTTCAGGAATATTTCCTTCTCGAAGAGAATCTAGAAAACCCTCAAAATGTTGTTTATTGGCGCTCAAAACGGGTGTTTGGGACCAAACCTTTTGAATTTCAACCCGAAATGATCATCCACGTAACCAGACAACCTCACATCAGAGTAACAGGAGTGAACTGTCGTTTGCTATTACATTTTGGAATATTGCGTTCATGAATTACAGTTTGCATGCCCCAAATAGACCAGGCTAACATCTGAAGTGTTTCTGCAGGCAAGGTGCTGGTCCACTGTGCACGAGGAATCAGCCGCTCGGCGACTCTGGCACTGGCCTTCCTCATGATCAGAGAGAGACTCACCCTCGTGGAAGCTGTGGAGGCTGTTCGCAGGCACAGGAACGTTCTCCCAAATGTTGGATTTCTGAATCAACTCTGTCGCTTGGACTCTTCTTTGGCCCTGCAGAGGAAAACACCAAAACGTCAAGAATTGGAGGAACGTAGAAAAGGGGGAATCTCTCCATAAGGATTTATTTCATTACCTTTGACGTGTTATTTACAGTACAGCTAAACATGGCTGCTAGATTTCTTTAAATGTTTCCACCTTCAAGCCATTCGTGTTTTCCAATAATAAAAATCAGTAAGCACATATTGTGTTATCCAACTTTCATTACGCTGTCATCCAGTTAAGAGCAGATTTAATGTTTAATGCGCTGTATTAACAAACAATAGCTGCCAGGCAGAGAAATGACATATGGACTTGATATTCATTGTGTGGATTAATACACTCAAGCAAGTTTAGAGGGACTGTGAAAGAGAGCTGTACATTTGACCTTTGGGCTTGACTGGACTCTTTTCTCCAAAATTTCGGGCCTAATATTCTTAACTTTTTTTTTCCCATGACAACTTAATAACAAAAATAAAATCCAATGGATGTAACACCGGTATGTTTACGCACACAGCACAAACAATAACAAAACCCCTGCAGTTCTTGAACAACACAAATACAGTGTTTTCCTAAAAATAAACTGCGCTCCACTGATTCACAATCCCTCAAAATATTGTGTCTGGCCGCTGCAATCCAGCATGGCGCAGTTAAAACTGCAATTTCTAACGAGTCTTGATACGAGATGATAAAAATATGCCGGCACAACTCTGAGTGTGTGTACAGATTGAGGTCAGACTTTGAAAAGCGATGAAACACTGAAGCCATCTTAATAAGAGATGCTCTACAGGGCACACTGGGAGAAAAGGGAGATAGAGAGAGACGCTGTCAAAATAAAAGGAATTGGATATCACAGGTTTAATGATTTCACTGTCAGAATGAATGATGGCAGAGCATGAAGATATGAGGGGGGAAAATAAAGGAGTCTGATGGTGTGAAAACACTGTCTGACGTGATAGCAGCTTCATCCAGCCACTCTGCGGTACATCATCACACCCTCACTTTGGGGGGGCTCGCATCTAGAGCACTGAACGGACCGTGCACATCGTACACCGGGGGGAATCAAAGATGCGCGTCCGTCCCGTGAGGAAAAACCTCGTCCGTCTAACAGTCTTGACGCGTTGCGGATCTCCTCTGGGCCCCCCCACCCCGAGAGGCTCCAGAGAGGGCAGAACATCCGTGGCGGGTGTTGTGAGGCGGGCGTCTGAAGATATGCAGAAAGGCTAAAAGAGACTGACACAATTTCAAGGAGCCGCTCGTGCGGCTGAGCAAAAGCTCAAAGTGGCCTGTTCACTCCAGTGAATGTGGGTATCCTGTGGCAAGTGCAAAGTTTGGGTTAAGCTCAGCTTCCTGCCAGCAGCGGAGATTATAGTTGTGTGTTTAGACGGGGTGGGGGGGGCGGCAGGGACTGGCTCGGTGGATGTTTTTCCCCGCAGGCAGGGAAAGTGGCAGCTAAGGTCAGGGGCCCGCCACATCACAGCCCTAAAAATATCCCCTGCATTTGATTCCCGTCACAGAGCGGTTATACAATCTGTGCCCTCACTTGAGTCTGCCAGAATTAAACCCTCACCATGTTCTGCCTTCAAGGACCGCTTCACAACAAGCCGCCGGAGTGATGAAAGCAAGATTCACCAGCGGGAAAACCAAGGATTTCAATGTCTTGGTGAGCGGTTCTGGAGATGCATGTGGAATAAAATGAAAGCTAAAAACGTGTATGTTTTTTCATTGTTGCACGGGGAGGAAAAGGGAAAGGGAAAAAGTAAGCGTGGTATTTCTTTTCCCTCCTTTCAGCTAATAAATCATGTGTGAAAGGAAGCCACAGCGAGAAAATGGCTTCTCACAAGTCAAAGACTGGAACCGAGATAAATGTTACAAAGGCAGTGAAGGAATCCAGTCCAGTGGATGAATATTTCACACCTGGGGGCTATGAGCTGGAGAAAATCCTAAACCGTGGGAGTGTGGTTTACACTCATGTCAACGAGGTCTGGCCGAATGTCTACATCGGGGACGAGTAAGTCAAAAAGTATAAAACGGACTAAACCGAATATAATAATGGATTCAAGTAACATTAATTCTGCCATCTTGCAGGCAGACCGCTAAAGACACGTGTAGTCTTAAGAGGTTGGGGATCACACACATCTTGAACGCAGCAGAGGGGACGTGGAACAACGTGGACACCGGAGCTGGTTACTACGGCGACATGGAGGTGGTCTACCACGGCGTGGTGGCAGAAGACGTCACGACCTTTAACCTCAGCCAGTATTTCTTCTCTGCTGCCCAGTTCATAGAAGAAGCACTGAGCAATCCTCAGAGTAAGACAGCACATAGTTTGCCATTTTAGCGGGATGCAATTGTGTTTTATTGACAAGGTTTTGTTCCCAAAAAGGGAATTTTTCCATAATGTGTGCCTTTTAAACTTCAGCCACCATTCTTGTATGTTGTTGTAATTCCTGTTTTTCATTAGCAATGTATTGCTGTCATGGGATTAGTTACACACTAGTGTGTGCGGTTTCCACCGCTAAGGAATATTCACACATGCATCCAATGCATTCTGGAAATGCTTCCATTCTTTAAGGAACTAATGAAATTGGGTGAACGGAAGCTTTCTGCGTAAAAAACACCAGATTAGTTAATTTTGAATATTCCCTTTTGGTTAAAATGACCCTTCAAATGAAGAAACGTGTAGCCATTCTCCGATAACGTGATTTACTTGTGGACAGATAAACTGCTGGTGCACTGCGTGATGGGAAGGAGTCGGTCTGCCACACTTTTTCTGGCCTACCTGATGATCCATGAAAACATGACGGTGGTCGACGCCGTCGAGCACGTGAAGACGCGCAGGAGGATCATCCCCAACTGGGGCTTCCTGAAACAGCTGAGAGAGTTGGACGTGCAGCTTCAGGGGAAAAGAGGAGCGGGCCCAGTGCAGAGCTGAGGGGAGCCTCAGGTCAATGGAGACAGATTCAAGTCATTGTGGACGAATAAAAAGGTTTTTGGTCAAGTAAGTCTCTGGTACACAAGAGCAGATCTCCATCTAGGTCACAAGTCACTTGTCATTTCAAGAAACGTGAGACGAATCCAATGTGAATCCCCTGAAGTCTCGAGTCACGGAACAAGACATCCGCTCTGAATGGCTTCCTTGAGAAGGACATTCTCTTTGACATTGTGTTGAATAATGGTTTTTCCTGTTAGGAGAGACCAATTTATTTTAGTGCAAAAGGTCTGATAATTATGAATCTGACATGAATTGTTTTGCTTGAAAGTTTTGTGGAAGGTCTGGTGTTCGGGGGACTAAGATCTAATTTAAATCAAGTCTCAGAGCAGTAAAGCCCGAGACAATTTCTTTTTCTACCTATTTTAATTTTAAAATACTTCTTTGGACAACGACAAACTCAAAATCTATCACGCCTCAGGCTTGTACATATTTCAAATTAAAAGGAGCACAATCAAGTACATGGTCAATCATAATTTATTCTTATGCTAAAATGTACAGCACTGTGACTGACAAAAGGAGACAAGTCATAAATACAAGAATGTCATTCTGTCCAATTTTTGTGCACATAGCCAGGTATTTCCCTCCTGTTCTTACCAGCAACTCTGTACAGGTACAAAGGCTACAAAAGAGCAATATAAACATAAACACAGGTAGCGCTTTACATGCAATCCATTAGCTTAGTTTGGTCTATTCACAGGCTCTACTCTTCTACACTTCGGTAAAATATAAATCCAACATTTTATAAAGATAGAAAACAAATCTACAGATGGAATGAAAACGTAGCTTTAAAGGCATTATGTAAAATATCAACTTTGGACTAAATTTATATTTTCTTTGTTATCATTATAATCATTTAGTTTTTTGAAATTCTGCCACACCTTTTGAAATGTTTTAGAATTTTCAGGGTACAAACACTGAGATATGCTTTGTTATTTTGACAGAAATCAGTCTGCTTTATTAAACAGAAAGCTGCCTCAAGGAGATCTGTTACAAAAGACTTCAGAATTATACATACATACGTAGCAATAAAACCTCTGAAACCGAACATAAAACAGGACTAATTTTACATTTTTTTTACATTATTAGAATTAACAAAATATAGTTTTATCTTTCTCCCCGTGGAGGGAAACCTAATAAAAGGCCAGATATCTTTAAAATGGCTTGCTATTAAGCACAACACTTGTACAGTACTACTCAATGCACTGTCACTAACAGAGACTGAAGCATGCTAGTTGTCACTTTACAAAATAAGTACAATAATTTAAATATACAAAGGCATGAGTATAGTACAAACTAATTGTCAGCACTGTTAGACAGGTACACTAAACAGGTTCAAACGGCCACCAACTCCACTTGTAGCAGGCACATTAAATGGCTTCATTTGAGGCTGCTACACAACTGCAAGACCACTGATGAAATCTCTACCGCTGATCTCTGAACCCGCCTGCTCTAAAGACACATCAGAGACACTAACACTAATTAAATAGATTTTCATCGTAATGATGTAAGGCTTCCCGTCTGGAGAAACAAAAATACTTTTTAACATTAGCTTCAAATCTACTTGTCGATGAACAATTTTTGCATTCTTTCCAAGTGCTGCTGCTGGTTTTTAAGTAATAAACAACAAAAGAGACACAAAAAAAACAAAAAAAGCAAAAAGGCCAGATCAGTGCATCTTTAAACAGCAAAATGCACGCGAGACGGACCAGCTGATCCCTGCGGAAAGTTACCGCCCGATGAACGGCCCTTTCAGGGACTGCTTGGACATGCCTGTGTTCATGTAACCATGGTGACCAGCTGGAGTGTACACCATGTTGCCATGTGGTGGAGCCTGCATGGGCTGCTGGGGGTATGGCTGTGTTCCCATCATGCCCATCTGCATAGAGTACTGGGGTGACTGGTTCATATAGGCATGATTGCTGTGGTAGCCGCTGTTCATCATGGGCTGGCTCATGCCGTAGCCATTCATGGCGTTGAGGGAGGACATGTTCATGGTGTTGACGTTGTAGCCCGGTGCCGGCATTATGTTCACGCTCATGCGCGGCATGGCTGCCAGCGTCCTGGACGGCGCCTGCATGGGCACAGTCTGCGCCGGCCGGGCGTACATCTGCCGCTGGTGGTGCGACAGCGGGGCGGACTTGGAGCGTGCGGAGATGTGACCCTTGGAGGCCATTTGGGGCTGGATCCGCTGCGAGGGCGGGATGCCCATGTTGCGCTGCAGCATCATGGTCGGCGTAGAGCTGAGATTCGTGGGCGGGGTCATGGTGGCTTGCACCTGTGGGTTGGGGACTCGATGCGGGGTCTGGGACAAGGACACCAGGCTGGAGTGCTGAGATGACAGCGACGGGGTGTTTGCATAAGATGTGATGGTGTGTGAGGCCGAGTGGTTGAAAGGCAGCGGGTGAGGGTGGTCTATAAACGTGTTGGTGAACTGCTGCAGCTTGGCCAGACTGAGGCCCGACGACTGGGAATAATGCCCGTTGCCGTACTCCCCCTGATGGTTGATCCGCTCGTAAATGGCAAAATTTTGGGTGCCAGATTCAGGAATATCTGCCAGTTGCATGGTGGTGGTGAAGTTGGTGGGTATGGCACACTGCGCCATGGGCTGCTGCTGGCTGTGCTGACCGTGTTGATTGTGAAGGCTATGCTGAGCGTGCTGATTGTGCTGGCTGAGCTGATTGTGCTGCAGGTGGTGATTGTGGTGGTGACTATGCTGGTTGAGGGGATTGTGTTGACTGTGCTGGCTTAGCTGATTGTGTGGACCGTGCTGATTGTGTTGGCTGTGCTGATTGTGAGGGCCGTGCCTGCTGTGGGAGTTGTGTTGACTGTGTTGGCTGCGCTGGCTGTGCTGGCTGTTGCTGGGGGGCCTCTCCACCACGACGCAGCCCTGCGGCGACTTGACGTTGCAGTGAGGCGGCGAGCTCAGGCTGTTCTGCTGAATCATCCCGCAGCTGCCGGGGTTGACGGCGGCCATTTGCTGGCTCACGGCGCAGCTGCTCTGGGCCAAGCCGCTGGGAGGGATGCTTCCGTAGGAGCAGCTGTTCTGGGAGGGGCCCGCCCCACAGATGCTGCCCCCCATGGTCGAGTCGTAGCTGCTGGGGTTCTCGTAGTTCTCCGTGGTGCTCTCGATGCTGCCCAGATCGCTGAAGCCGCTGTCCACCACCTGCTGCGAGTGATCCGACACCGACGGCACGTCCATCATGGGGCTCGTCTCCATGTTGTGGAGCGACGGCACGGAGATGGCGCTGTGGTCGGGGCTGATCTGAGTGTAGCCGCTCTCCAGGAGGGAGACCGCCGGGCTGTTAACGGAGCGCACCGACTGGCTGGGATGCGACTGGGCCGAGGACAGGGGACTGCTGTGGTCCGACTGGGGACAGTCTTCCAGCGAGGTGAGCTGGGGGCTCTGGGCCACGTGGGCGTAGGTGCGCAGGGTCCTGCAGGGCTCCTGGCTCTCCACGCAGAAAACGCTCTCCCTCTCAGTCTCCCGCGTCAGGGACTGAACGGCCCGGGCCGTCTCCGAGTCGATCTCCGCGCAGATTGGCGGATCCTCCCTCAGCACGGGGCTGAGTGCCGGTAGCTCCGTGGGATGAGGCGTCGGCTGGTTCGGGCAGGGACTAGAAGTGCTCTCTATCTCGGACTCGGAGTCTGCGGGATTATCAGAGTCTACGGCTGCTACTGAAGCGATCGCTGCGGCTTCAGGCGGGGGCGCCGTTACGGTGGATTCGGTCACTGCCTGGTGGAGGCTTTCCACAGCTGTAGCTGGTTCCTCTTCATTGCACGGCACTGTAGACACCTGCAGACTGAACTCTGAGGCATCGTCTCGTTTCGCATCTAAAAAAGGTGGGGCGCATTCGGGTATTTCTTTGGAACACTGTTCCAGGTCCGCTTTGCTGCTCTCATCTGCTGCTGCTGTCTGGCTGTAACCTTCGTCGTCTGCATCCTGGTCCTCTATTTGAGTTCTTTGCTCAGCCTCGTCATCGTCATCCTCTTCCTCCCCTGCTTTGCCGTGCTCCAGTGACTCTACAGCCGCTGCGCCGTGCTCCACATCTTTGGCTGGGGAGTCCCGCCCGGGTTCACTCTCCTGCTGGTCGTCCTCATGAGGTTCCGGCGAATCACATATGTCCTCGGCCCTGGGGGACACGGTGCCCGGGGAGCACATCGGAGAAGCCACCGGCGATCCTTCAGGGGAGCTGGACTTGTGGGAGACATGGTCAAAAGGACTTGGGGGCTCAGTGAGGAGCCTATGCAGCGCCATATCGGGACTAGCAGAGCCTCGGCTGACTTTGCTCTCCTCGTCGGCGCTGACCATATCGTGGTCCGCCTCCTCTTTCGCTTCCTCGGCGTGAATATGGTGCTGCTCGGCCTCCATTGGGGTTTCTGGGGGTGTGTAGAGGTTGAGCTTGAAGCCCATCTTTCGTTCGTTTTTGAGCCTCCATTTCGGGGGCCCGCGTTTTACTCCCTTCGGCCAGCCCTTCTTCCGTTTCACTGGACGAGGTCTCATGGGTCTCTTTGAGATGACATCAGCCCCTAAAAAGGTTGCAAAAGAAAAAGACACCTTAATTTCCTGCCAGAGAAGTGGAGCAAACTATGAAAAAAAAACAATGAGAGACAATGTGGTACATTGTAGTTTTATGATGCAAATACCTTCATTCCAGCGTTCAAGATTGTGTTTCCATGCATTTTTCTCCAGCCTCGGACGACCTCTCCGCCGTTTCACTGGTGTAATTGGTGTCTTCTCCTCTTGTTCCTCCTCCTCCTCTTCTTCTTCTTCTGCCCCCATCTCGCCCATTCTGCAGGTGCGCTTTAGCAGAGGCATAGGCCGCTCCTCCTCAGAGTTGTCAAACGGCTCATTCAACACCTCCGTCGTCTCAGAGATGGTTTCTGTTGTCACGCTGCTGTTTATTCTCTTTCTTTTACGCCCTCGCCTTTTGAGCACAATGGTTCTCTGAAAAACAAATAAAAGAGGAACCAATGAAAACTGAATAAAGGTTCCATCAGAGTAGAGCAGTTTTGTAAAGGTTTTGTAAAAGGGATGAATGCCCTCCATGAGAATTGAGCAGAAATTCATTCAACGCAATGTGAGACTAAATGGTTGAGCGACGCGACCGCAAATTCTTTTCTGGTCTCCATACTTGTTAAAAGGTTCCCCTGAAGTTCATGCCACCGGCTGTAATATTATCTCCAGCACAAGGGGGCAGTGCCATATAGAAATGACAAAGTACAGAGGAGGGCAGTAAATTAACCATGACCATTGACAATAGTACAAGGTTTAGCCTGCACAGTCTCGACAACAGCAGTGAAAACACAATCTATTATCTACAGCTGCAGGCACACAGGGAGGCTCCAGATGACAGGAGGAAGCCACTGAACCCACCACTGAATTCATGAATATTTATCAAACCTTTTTCGTCTCACCAGAGTACACAACATGGTCTCTAATGAAGGAAAATGTCTAATGATATACATTCAATTCCACTTAGTCTTTGAATACAACTCCAGCAATCCATGGGGATATCCCCCCGGGGGGGTGGGGGGGGGGGTTACAGACTTGTGGTAATGCAGAAGAGGCCTGATTCACATCAACAGAGAATAATAGTCACCTTTCTCTTGGCTGCAAGCATGGCGTGGGCCTTTGTCAGGATGGGTGGAGAGCCATCTGAGTCGGAGTCGTCGTTGTCGTCGTCGTCGTCATCATCAGCTTCATCATCACTCACTCCCTCAAACTGCTGCACGCGTCTGGTCCAAGACAGTGCAGGACGGCGTTCGTAGGTTCTGTAGGGAACCTTACAGTGGACCTTCGTGAGAGGTTGCCTGCCGCCATGAGTCATCATGAAGCCCTCCCTCTCCTCCTTCTTCTTCTTCTTCTTCTTCTCCAGCAACTGGCCTGCTCCCTCAGCCGCTCAGGCTGGTAATTAAACAGACAAGACACATTATTTCTGGCAGAGGCGCACGCACAGCTCCAACATCTGAGCAATGAGGCTAATGGAAAAACAAGAGATTGGAATTAACATCATGACAAATGAATCACTGCAGGTTCCTCCTGATAATAAGGGCGCCGTCCTGATTGGACACGAGTCCGTCACGGGGGAAAACAGTTCCGTTAAGCAACCGGGGAAAGATTGCATTTCATGGAATATTCAGAACCATTAATTATGTAGTAACTGATTTAGGGCAATTTTGCACAACATTAGATGCCTGCTGACAGCGATAATGCTTTTCCCCATTAATGGCCTCTATTTGAACTCTCCAGCTAATCAAACAAACATCCAATAACAGCATTGCAGGCGAGTGTAAACAGCTCACTAGTGCCTCTTGATTGAACAAGGAAACTCACATCCATCTCTGCCTCCTCCTCCTCCTCCTCCTCCGACAGGACGCCGTGGATAGCCGTGGAAGGTGTCCAGCGCAGGGCGTCGGGGTCCACCTCATTGCGCCGCGGGTTTGGCCTCAGCCCCTCCGCGTGAATCAATCGCTCTCTCCTGATCAGCACGATCCTGGGTTGCAGTGACGAAAAAGACAATGAGTTCATGTCGATGGGGAAAAAAAGAAACGAGGCACTAACCAGGACGGTTGGAAGGTGATGTGTGGTTTAATGCGAGCACAAAGACGAGCTCTTTGGGACAGCAGGTGCTCCGTGTCCTTGGGGGTGCTTAACCTGACTTACTTCTGTCAATATTCAGCTAAATTAATGGATACGCTGTTAAAAATACCCGCTGGCCTGGATAAGTCAGACAGCGCGCAGAAGCGGGAGTGCAGGGCTGAAGGACACTGCGGCTCGGAGACTGACCTGCCATCCTGTCTGTCAATCATGCCCAGCTGCTGGAGAGTAGCGGCGATGTCATGTGGACACATCCCAGTGGCCCTGCTTATTCCTTTAACACTGATGTGTTTATCCGGGTGCTTATAAAGGTACTCCAGTATGACACTTTTCCAATATGCCAGGTAGGATAAGCGACCCAGATCTGACAGCGGCTTCTCCGGGGAGCCGGCTTGTCCTTCTTGCCTGGTGAGAAGGTAACCTAAAAAGACAAACAAAAACAAAATGCTTTAGTCAAGCTATCGGCTGCTGCCGGGTGATTTCAGAATGCAAGTCAATCCAGACACCTTATAGATTACATATTCAAGTAAGGATGTGACACCAAACCGTGGTTGGGATTTCACCTTCCAATAGTATTAAGGGGGGGTGAGGCAATCAGTTTTATTCTCCTTCAACCTCTGTCAGAAGCTATGATACATGCTGGCAAAGGCAACAAAGGAGGTTTAAAGAGGGGAGTTAAGAGGAAACAAAGCGACAGAGCGAAACAGAGAAGCAGCTGGATGTCATTGCTCACAAGAGACTGCACTTAGGAGAGATAATGAACAAGAAGAAGAAAAAAAAACTATGTATCTGTGTGTAATTAGTTTTATAGCGGCCCTGTCAAGGGTCATTCATTACGAGCCGCCGGAAATTAATTAATGCCTTTTAATGTGCACCCACTACCGAGAACCAAACAAGCAAATCTAATCACCAAACAGTGAACACATAATAGTGTAGTAATCATGACAATATTCATTATTTAAGCCAAAGAAGAGGGGTGATAACAAAATAATGAATATTCAATATAATTGAAAAAAGTCACTTTAAAAGCACATTGTCATCAATAAAACAAAAACAAAGCTGCTCGGAGCTCTTTGAATAATGATTTGAAAGGGAACGTTTTCCACACAGGCGCCCACTAATGCTCTGCTCTCAGAGCTACCTGAGACAAAGTGTTCCTCTAATACAATCCAATACAACAGAAAATCTTAATCTAAACAACTTCCAGCTCCAAAGCTACGTTTTCCAATAAAGCCTTCAAAGAGCTCAGAACTCAGCTGTGTTCAATCTCCCTTAATCCCCGTCTTTGTTATCAGCACACTCTCAATATCACAGATCCTCTTGCATCTCGGTGTCTCAATGGCTCCCAAAGTGAACAGGAAATCAAATGCTCCATTACCACCCGCCCTCCTCGCGCACTTTTTTTTTTTGTCTCTTCATCACACACGCAAACTCGGCAAAGAGACAACTCTTCAAAAACAATGAAAAGCCTGCCTAAACACAGAAATCCACTCAAGGCAGCGACTGTTTTCAAAAGTGGACCACAAGGCTTTAAATATTGTATGTGCTGCATTTACTAAGCAGAAACATCAAAGCAGTATCCACACCTCATCGCGAGTCAAGGAGAGTGAGTGGGGGGCATTTGCTATGGAAAAAAAACCCTCTTCAGGCTTGGAAATACTACTGGCCATCATATAATGTATGCAGCCAGAACGTTGGATTTCTCACACGTAATCTTGTGATTGCTTAAGCACTGTTCATGAATGCTCTTGATTAGGCTACTTCACAGCCTTAACCAAATAACAGCATCTTGACACAAGCTACAAAGCAGACCCCTTAATCTTATATTGTTTGTTAAGAATAATGAATACAAAAAGAAGTAACAAAATCAGTTCAGTGGTCTAAAAAAGCATTAGGCAACTTACTGAAATCAATAAGGAACCTTCCAAATCCTTGCCTTTGGTACTGAGGCATGATCATTATGCAGGAGACGTTGTACTTCTGCTGGCAAAGCTTTTCCTGAGGGAAGGAGAAACAGATCAAGTATGTCAGAGCTCTGCTGAAGCTGGCAATTTACTGCGCCTGCCATTGTCCTTGTCTAAAGCCGTACACACACACACAAGGGTGATGAGCTATTTAAAACAGTATCACACGGTTCTGAATTGTTGCTACATAAGGATGATTATGTCATTGTTGGTTAATCTGTCAATTATTCTCTGATAATTTGGTTAATGGTTGCATTAATAAAATGTCACACGATAGGGGAAAAGCAAGTTGCCATCCAAATCTCATCTTTCATGGACTTTTTAGATCTTTGTTTGTAATCAATACACAATTATACAACAAAGACAAAGTCACGGACAATTTAGAAAATGCAACAGAGGTTTTGATTTTTGTCTCGGCAAATGAAATAATAGACTCATCATTCAAAACACTTCAGTGATTAAAAAGTTATCAAGAATGATGCGCGGCGTTCCTTCATTTACCGTATAATGACTCGGTAATTCTTACCTTGGAGAAGTAGCCCACAAGATGACAGCCTTTCTCGTCGTTCTTTGTAAGTATGTAGAAGAGGAAAGGCTCCACATCGTAATACAAGGTCTTGTGATCCAGGAAAAGCTTGGCTAGCAGGCAGAGGTTTTGGCAGAATAGTTTGCTGACATTTCCATCAACCTAAACATGGAATAAAAAGACCAAGAGGACACTGTTCAAACAGTTCCCATTTTCTCCCTCCTCCTCTTCCCAGAACCCATTCGCTGGAATCTCATGCAGCATACAGTTATTGCTTTATTGCCGTAAAGGGAAGCTGACCTCAAATACGGAAAGGTCGTTCTTTCTGTAGATTTCATTGGCTGGCGGGTGGAACCAGCCACACTTTTTTGTATGTCTCTGGAGAATGTTTTTGCTCCTCATGTACTTCAGACAGAACTCGCACAGATAAAGCTTTTGTAATCTGACAAAGACAAAAGAAAGAGATGCGGTTTGTACTTCAGCATTAGCATTTTTTTTTTAATTAAATAAATATGCAACTTGGTACCAAAAGAAACTGGCATTATCTGTTGAGTAAAAGCAGCATTAACCTTGAGTATTCTGGAGGGTAAGGCGACGAGTACCAGGTCTGAATCTCATACTTCCCAAATTCAATAAGGGCAGGGCATCGCATGGAGTCTGTGTTCACCCGAGATCCAGTTCTCTGCAAAAACATATAAAGAATCAACGTGGTGGCCCAGACAATCCAATCCAACAGTGTTTCTAACAACCAGACCATAAAAATGGTGTTCGGACTGCATTCTCAAACAACGAGTGTGGTTAAATTAGATTAAATTTGACCCCTTAAAAACTCAAGAATGCATAAGCCTCTCTATCGTGACTGGTGATGAATAGCAATACAGGCGAGTGGGAAAATATGATATATTCATTTTTTTTGCTCCAGGTGATGTTTCAGATGTTTAACCTCTTTCCCAAACGTCCTCACCTGCATGGCGACTTCCTGAACATGAGTAAACGTCTCAATGTCCTCCTCCATCACGTGGTCTCTGGACATGGCCGCAAAGTCGGCTCGGGCCTCCTGCTTCACACGCAGCTCCCCGTTGTGGCCTGTTACAGGTAAAATAACACGTCAACACCTCCGATAGCACATCGACACCGAGCTGTCTAACGCAGCCTTGGCTGAATAATCTAATAAATGCATTCTATGCAAATGTGCTTATAGTGCGAGTACTGCTGCTGAGCCTATTTGCGTCTGTGTCTCTGAGGAATTTCATAATGTATCATCTTTGCATGTTTATATGAAAATCCCTAATGTAATGAAGTGAAAGTAATTCACTCTAATTGCGTAACCGCTTTCATGTGCTTAGTCATCCACCAAGACAGTTTCCCATGAATGAAGAAGCAGATGCAGTGAAGGGAGCAAGTGTCGACATGAAAAGCAACTGATGTTGGAAAGCAGGCAGTAATTTTATGAAAGACATCAACACCATGACATAACCACCAAAACAAAAACCCATTATAAGTGGCCGTGATGTGTCATTAACATATTTATGAAAATGTGCTGCTGGAGTAAGTAGTGCTTGTGCAGTATATTGTTTAGAACTGCTTAAAAGACATATCCATTTTTTTTTTTTTAAACTGTGACTTCACTCCTTAAGACAGTGAAATGTGAGGGTTACTGCACTTCTGGCTATAATCATCATGTCATCTCTGAGGCAACTTGGGTGGGTGAATCACTGGGTTGCATGTGACTAATGACCACTGGAAGTGTGGTTGAGTGGAGACGGTGATTTCAAGAGTGAAGGTGGTGGGATGATGAAGGCCGCTGATGTGACTAGAGCCTCTGCGAGGTAGTGATCACAACGTGCGCACTACAGCGGAGGGTCAAGGACAGAGCAAGGAGCAACATGAGGGAGTTAGTGGGCCATGCACTACGACAAAAGCCGACGGGCGAGAGGATGGAAGCCACGTGAGCGCCGCAGCCAAGTCAAAACGCAACGAAGCTGGGTTAACAAACTAAAAGAATTCAAATTAGGCACAAGATTAGTAGTCTGTTAGAGTGTTGAGGGTGTCTTCTCAAATAAAAGATTAGCTCTAGTCTGGGAAAGTAAAATAAATAAATAACTGCTAGTGTCAAGCTTTAAAAAAATAAATTAAAAAAATAAAAATGAAGAAGAAGCTTAAAGGTGTGGAGACGCAGGTCTTTGCTGGAGTTTCAAGCCTTGCTTACCATGATTATTCTCAGGCTTAATTCTTCCGTCTGTCAAGTCTCCCTTTCCTGTTGAGGGGGCTCCCTTCTGAGGGCTCACTTTATACCTCAGCCTGCCTAGCGTCCTGTGCTTTTTAAGGAAGGGATTACGTTTGAAATGACTGACCATCTTAAACGGGTGTCCTCGGGGTCGGCCCGGCCCAGCCGACGTGGAGTGTGGCCTATTTTTGTTAAACTCATTCTTTCCAAGACGCTGGGGCCCCGTTTTGGATGCTTGGGGGGAATCCTGCTTTAGGTGCGGGCGCTTAGGCGGCGCGTAGCAAGGTAGTCTCTTTTTCCGCGACTGTCCCTGAGTGGTGTAAATGTGAGAGAGTCCGTCAAACAGTCCCTTAAGTTGGCTGCTATTGTAGAGACTACTCAGGGAAGGAACACTAGACTGGCTGGAGGAGCTCTGGGGTGAGTTAGCCGAGGTGGAGCTGCTGGACACCTGCGATGGGGGGCTAAGTCCCGGCAAAGTGGGAGCGGGAAGAGCAGAGGAAGAGGGGGTTATCTTTTGAGCAGCGTCAGCGGCGAAGGCAAACGGCTGTGGTGGCTCGGACGGTCGGGGCAGACCCTCGTCTCTAGAGCGCAACGGCGTGGCGAGCGACTCTACGGCTACAGCTCGCGAGCGACGGCCCACGGGGGAAGGGGTAAAGAATTTGGAAAGCCCATCGATAAGCCCTTTGGTTTTCTTGTTAACGGTGAGTGTAGCTCGGGTGGAGGTGGGCGTGAGGAGGGGAGTGGTGGTGGGGGTGGAAGTGGTAAATTGCGTGGCGTCGACCACACAACAGGGGTCAGCCAATCTGTCTCTGGCGTCCTTCACAGATGCAGCATGACCAGATGAAGGTGTGGAACAGACGGTAATCTTTTGACCCCTACCAGGTGACCCCCTTCCTCCAAGTGCTACCATGGAGCCGTCACCACTGGTTACAGACCTGAGGAGACAAGACATTGTTGTAGAAGGTCTCACAGTCGGATGTGCAAGTACTGTACCCAGGTACAATTCTGAGGTACATGTGTTTCCTTGTCATCCTGCTAAATTTTTTATTCCAGTGCATGTATGTGACGTGTGCTTGTCACTGTGCAACATTACAAACTCTTCTAAAATAGACAGTACAAAAAAATATAAACAGTGTTTTCTGGGAGCAATCAAAACATTTAGCATCCAACCAAAAAACGTGCAACTTTTAATATCGCACTCAATGTTCTCCAGTGCTTCAAGCAGGGTCGCTGTGTTCCCGGAAAATCATAATCACCACTAGGTATATTCTTGTGACCAAGTTAAATATTATTCAGATTGGCGCACACTCACATTCTTTGTTTGAGCTTATTTCTGGGCCTTCCGATTGGCTTTGCATATCGACGTTTGATCTGATCGGCTTTCTTGTGCAGCAGTTTCTTCCCGTTCTCCTTCGGCCTGCAGACTTGGCAGATCCAGGTACCTGGATGGTGTCCAAGCACAGAGAGTACCGTTTGAGTGGGATCATCAATTCAGAGGACATACAGTAGATTCTTTTGAAACGTTTCCTTTAATGCCGAGAGCTGGCGAGAATCTTGCAGGTTCACAATGACAATCAATTACTCAGCACAAAGCAAAAATCCATAAAGAAAAACTCCGGGTCAATTCTCTGTCTGGTGGAACAGCCTTTGTGTCAGCTTGTTGAGCAAAGCTATGTGACCTGTATGAATTGTCTGCAAATTGTCATTCTGCCGTACGTGGCCGTCATTACAAGCCTCGCCGTAGGGTCTACTGTAATCCAGAGATAGCAAATCTCCCCCGGGGATGCTAGAATAATTTTATATGCATGCAAAGCTTCTAATAAGCCATCGCCGCGCGTGCGGAGTGACGGCCTCAAACGGCCGTCTGTGGAGAGGAGCCTTTGAATTGACAGCCGAGAGGGAAACCGAGAAGCCAGACTGTGTAAACGCCTCACCTTTTGGCATTCTTGAAAGCGGCGGGTCGCAGCATTCCATGTGAAAGCCCCGATCACATGAGTCGCAGAATAGCATCTCATCCTGAAAGGCAACAGCAGGCATGTGTAAGGGAGTCCCTGTTGCATACATGTAACACCCCCCACCGTGTCATTTAAAGTCTTTTGGAAAAATAAGCCCAATTGTGCACTGGAGAGGCTTTACAAATCGGAAAAACCAACAAATCCTCAGGAGTGCACAGAAAGGGATCTATCTTCCTGCCAACCACACAGATAATGGCGTGTTAGGATGTAAACAACGTTATACTTACAGCATTTTTCCCCTGTCTTCGACAGGAGCTGCAGGTTTTGCATTCAATACACTGCCATCGTAATCTCTTCACATTTGAGGTTAATTCAGGGGAAAACTTCAGACATGATGGATGCCCTTCAGAAGCAAGAGCAAACGGACATTAGCATAACACATTTTTTACTGTGTCACAAGAGCTACAGAGGCTTTTATTTATTCACGTGGTATGGTTAAACATTAACCTATTAGATCATCCAAAAATACAATGGTGTGCCTGTACTCTATGTCCGCGCCCAGAGTTGTGTCTAAAAACAGTATGACAAAAACATCTGAGTTGCTAATTACAGATAATCTGATCTTAATGAGGCAGAAACAGTTGCAGCCCTCATTCTAATGGAAGTCGATCCATGAAAGTCATGTAAAAGCTTGCCTTCTCCCTCACCCGGCTCCCTCTCATGGTAGTAAAACAGCTGTTTTACAGTGAGAGCACAATTTGTGTACACTACCAGCAGTTAATGAAAACCACCGCGACGCTACTTAAGTCAAATTTCAGCTATAAAAATGTCACCAGGAGAACAATTCCTCCCGGCATTTAAAATAATTGTTCAAACATAAACGACTCCTTGGCAGAGGTAATTTTACAGGGTGGGGGTGGGGACGGTGGGCGGTTCTGCAGGTTTGTCGGGAACAAAAGAACAGTAAAGGAAGTGTCACCAATCTGCAGAGGAAAAAAGTGGTGATCTTTGATCCGCTGTGCTTGGTGCACTCTATAAGAAGATCCTGAATTGAGCGAAAATGACTTGGGTGATTTCAGATTCTAATGGCCACTTACAGAGCATCTGCCCTTCTTTAGTCCACTGAGAGTTGCAAGCAATTTGGATCCCGTCAGCCACTCAATTTGAACATTGTTCTACCAATAAATCCGTTAAAAGGACAGTGAAAAATGTGGAGCAAGAATGTGACATCTGCCCAACTGATGTGGAGAACTACTGCAGCCAGGGTTTGGTGGGACGATAACATTATATTGTAAAATTTTCTTCAAAAAGGAGATTTATCTACAAGCTTTATGCCAAGGTAGATGTGATGTCTCGGGTTGTATAAGGTTATTGCAGACCATTTTGCAAACAAATTAGTAGCACCGCGTTATAGAAATATTGCAGTTGCAGGATTTTTGCATTGTCACTGGGTGTATTGACTGTTTTTTTTTTGGCAAAACAGACTTTCATCCAGTTCCGTAAACATTTGGCAACAATTACAATACATATATAACTACTGTGATAATATACTAATATAACTACTTGCTAATATTCTAAAGTTACCATTTCTCATTAGTAGAGGGAAATACTGTGGCCAGTAAATGATCACCGGCTAATTTTGAGTTAAAAACTAGCAAGAGTCTGAAGAGATTTTATGTGAAAAAGCAGAACCGCTTCAATGCATTTCCTGTTAGAGAGGAGATTTTGCATAACTGCCAGAAACTCCTGTACATCCAACAAATACTCCTCTAAATACCACCAGCGTCTACTCCTACCATGCATTCCCACTGCTGCTGCTCGTGAACCTTTGCTAACACACCAACGGTTCTGTCCAGACTACGTGCAGTATGTTGTGGCTCTAGGAACATCCAAGGCGACTTACCGCTGCTCCCACAGTCTGCACAGGACAGCAGCTCTTCTGGCCGTTTGTCCCGATTCGACTCTTTCGTTCCAAGACAGAAACTGCATATTGGGATGGGGTCGACCCGGAGCTGGGTGGGAACATAAACAGAGAGAAAAAAGGTTTAAGAAACAGAAACGGCCGCGGGCTTGGATGCCGGTTTGCTTTTGCACGCTTCATCTTTCCAGGATATTTTCAGATCACTGTGGAATTGTTGATTGTTAATGCAATAAAACCAGTGGTTGATTAGGAAATGGCCAAATAAAATGTGATGTACAAAAGCTCATGTTATGAAAAAGGAGCTCTCACTGACTAGAAAATAAATAACAAATGTATCCCCTCCTCAGAGATATTGAGATCCACCTCTTTTATCCATTACATGAATGGGTAAAGCGATCTTAGTAATCATAGTTTAAGGGCTTAATCCAATTCTTGAAGCTTGCACTCCAGTCTGAAAGGATTAACCAGCATGTAATCAAATTACCTCAATAATAAAACATGCGCTCATTGTTACCGCCATGCTCCACTGTAAAAGTAAACCTGGGAAGACTTTGTGTCAGCTCGATCAAAACGGGACCAGTATTTGGCTGGAATCACGACCAGACTGAACCCCCGATGACGTAATATCGCTTTTATAAGGCGTTCCTATGGATGAGAATGTTACACACGACTCCAGAGGAGCATCGGACAAACCGCTGCCTCCTTGGCTTGAGAGGAGGTTGCGTAGGGAAAATAATACTAACATGGTGTGACCGTAAATAACCCACCTCATCACTTTGCACTACCTAGTAAATTCACTGGAGCTTTGAAGGGCACTCTGGGGATGCCCATAATTAGTTCCAGATTTCTATGGCGCGGATCAGCATCCTCACCTCAACAAAATCTGCGGCTCCTGTTGTCCTCCTAACCTACGGTTAAAATCAAGCGACATCTTGTTTTTCCCCCTTTCCTTCTTTTTGTTACCTCATCGGTCGACCAACACAAGACAGAAGCATCTATTCCACCTGTCACAGCATCCGCATGAACCCCAGGGAAAGGCTGCAAGGACACAGTGGGGATTTGGTCAATGCTCCTGGCTGTTGTATCAATTAGCTGTTACGGTGAGGGGAAGCAGTTTACTGCCACGTCCATGATTACTCTATTTTCCAACCTGCCAGGTCAATATTTGAAAGCAGCCACTGGCATTAGATGCTGAATGCTGCTCTGTCAGCTGTGATTATGGACATAAAAACACTAAAACGCTACTGTGTGACGAGGCGACACCTGTAGAGCAAAACACTGGGCAGTCTGGGGTTTTGCTATTGTCTCGTGTTATGGAACACACATACATTTGGTACAGATTAAAGTCAGGTAGGTCTGCAACTGCAAACAATTCAGAAACGCACATTACTAACAATTGAGCTACCGTCAGACATGATGATGCATTTAAGTCATTTACCAAGTCAAAATGCCTCTCTGGTTTCAACTCCTCATATGGGACCATTTCTCTGTTGGTTTTTTTAAGTGTAAATTGCATGTATTTGGGTTTCAGACTGCTGATTGGACAACAGAACCAAAGCCAGTTTTATTCTTGCTATTTTCAGACGTGGCAGAGACTAAAAAAACATGTTGGTTGCAGGCCTACATATAACCCTGGTGTTGTGTTAACTGGACTGCACAGACTTTCTATTTAGGGTTTATCAAAGTTCAAATCACATTCACCCACAGCGGAGATAAATGGCGAAACATTCTTATTTTGTCCTTGATAATAAACCCAGGTTATTACTACTAAAGGCCTGAAAACAAGGCCGCAGGGTTGTGGTTACCTCGGTTACTAGTAATGCCGCTCTTAAGACTCAGATTTTGGGCTAACAAACATCCCAAATATATTTGATACAAAAGAGTAAGACCTCAGCAAGAACATTCGTGTAAAGAGCTGGAAATTAATACGACATCCGTGGTAATATGCAGCCTGTGCATCCTGTTGATGAAATGCTCAGACCTGATGGGCAAGCTTTCTTCTTTCTAATAAGTATTCACTTCATAAAATAGTCTCCGCTGACTGAGCTATGAAGTCTCAGGAACTGGAGAATTTAATTTCCATCAGGAATATTCTCAGGCTTGGTGATTAAAACCTACAGCAATCTGCACAGCGCAAGAAAAATGTGAAAGAGAGAGAAACAAACACAGCTGAAGAGAGGCTGATGATTTACTTGGGGGATTCTAAATTAAGTACATTACAGGAAATTATGCTGCTTCAAAAGAGCAGGCTGTCCTTAGTGAGGGGGTGGGGTCCTATTAGAAAACTGCTGGTAGAGAGAGAGAGAGAGCACAAGTGGTTGCATAACACAGAAAAAAAAACCCCATTCCTTGCCTTTGTTCCTGCCAGAGTCTCTGCAGAATCTAATAAACTCTAAACCAAGACTGCTTCCCCCCCCCCCCTTTATTTTTTACCTCAAAGTATCTCTTATTCTCAACACACACACTTGCGCTCCGAAAACTGAACACCACTGATGTCTCATCCTTTGAAGTGAACGGTAAACCTGGACTGGGCTTGGTGATGTCATCGGGCTGGGAGCAATAGGTTGAAATGTTCCAAATGGAAAACAGCAGGCCTTCCTGGGTTATGAGAACCATCGCAGGACACCGTGTCTCTAAACAGTTCTCGGTTTCACTTTTGGCCCCGACCACAGACACAGTCGCAGTTGTGGCTGCAGTATGAAGGTGTCGCTTCCTGATTATTTACTGTGAAACTGGCTGGGGAGCGGGGTGACATCTCTATAGCCTGATGCAGCTAGCCACTTCAGCTGCATAACTTGTGCATAAACTATTAGACCGCACTTCATCTCGACACACGATCTGCAGAAAGCCCTCGTAGGAAAATACCCGGATGACTGTGCTGTGCGCTTTGGGGCCACACAATGACAAACTATTTCCATCTCCTGCACCGGACAGTGTCTTCAAATAGCAAAGCATAGGACAAAAGTGCTGTCATTTTGCAGACTTTTGTCTGTAGTGTGCTACAGTTTAGCACCAACTCTAAGCCACCTATGAGGTGCCAAAAGTAACGGAAACATTGCAACCTGGCAGTTAGATGATATGGTTGTATTTCCTCTCTATGGGGCATCTCTCTTAGCACAAAAGGTTGCGACAGCTGCATTCGGACTGAGAATATTCTGCCCTGCTACACATTCTTCAGCTGCCATTTCCAAGTCCTGTTTTGGACAACTAGTTTATGCTTATGGCATTTTAAATGGGCAATAATATATCCCAAATTGGCACGCCATTGCTTTGGTAAAAACAAGACGACCAGCCACATCCCTTGAGGTCATTAGGGTAGAGTTACGTAACCTGTGCAGACTGCATACCACACACCGTCAGCATGACTTTCTGATTATCCAAGCGCTCGTATTGTGGAGATAAACAACATCACAGCCCCACAGGGGACGCACTCTAGATGGGCCCTTGTTTCTGACCTGCCAAGCTAGCGTCCATCATAAAAAGGTCCTAGCAAGCTGAGGCCGCTGAGTGGTGGCTTAGACTTCCTCCTTGGTAATGACATGATGGAAATATCTGTTTTTTGAGTCACAAAAAAAGTCCTCAATTCTCACCAAACAAAACTTGCATCACATCTGGTTATGAAAGTTTAAAGCAATAACACCTCAATAACAATTTGGAGGGGACGAAAGTTTACTATAAAACGAAGGGCATCCCGTGCACGAGAACTGCAGCATATGACAGACCAAACCCCCCCCAAAGGTAACTTGGGGACAAGCGTGTGGTGAAACGGAGTGAGAATGCAGGGCCCACGGGGTGTGTACCTGGTCTCGCTCGTGGGGCAGGAGTGTCACTGACGACAGGACCAAGGGGGAAGCGAGTGGACACCTGGAGCCCCTTCCCTCCAAACCGCCACGGCTGAGCTTATACCGCGGGCCGTTTTTCGCCAACCTGCTGTTGTTGACCGACCGCTTGGCCGCCAGCCGTAACCTCTGCCGGAAAGCGGGGTTATCGACGACGTTTGAGAGGTCACCCTGGTTCCTCAGGTACCTCTCGATGTTCTTCAGCGAGGAGCCGTGAGTATCATCCAGACCCTCGATGGCCCTCTTGAGTATTTTATTCCAATCGATGTAGCGCAGATCACTTGAACTCCATATAGATTCCTTCGAGGGCACGGACACGCTTGCAGGCGTGATTGGTCCAACTCTTGCAAGATTTCCCGGGTCCTTGTAGGAGGCGCTCCCCTTATTCGTAACCTTGAGAATAGAGCCATCGTGAACACTTAATTCCAACTGCTCCAGGACGGTCTTCTTGTCCAGTCCGTGCGAGGTGGCCACTGCATGACAGATTCTATCCTCTGAAGGCCTCTGCTTTTGCCTTTTGATTTTCTGTATTGCTTCAAGAATCCACTCCGTGTACAGAGGGTTGGCCAGTTTTACCATGGTTGAACAATTAGACTCACAAAAGTGCGATCCATACAAATCCCCCCGTTCTGCGGCGGAACACGGGATACATCCACATCCTTGGCAAGGTCAAAAAAAAAAGTTACGCTCCACACGGCAGCATCCACGTAGGTCTTCTCAATCCCGGGTGTCTGACATTGGCCTCAAGGAGGAAAAGTTGGCACGAGTATATTCCACAGTGTAGTAGTGACCGACTGACCTGAGGCGTTATTTGTTTATCTCCAGGTCAAACCTAAAAAAATAAATTAAAAAAAACAGGAAATGGGGGGGAAAAAACAGAAGTGGTCAGATACATTTGTAAAATAAAACTGGCAGGTTGTTGCTTCACATTCTATAGACGACCTAGCTTGCAGCATATTGTTCATAAAGGCCCAGAGGAATGCAGGGCGCTTATGATGTGTTAAAACACGAGGAACAGATGCATGAAAAACGGATGCAGGAGCTGTCATGGATGCTGGAGAAATTCGAGTGACTTAATCCAGTCTGACACTATAATCCACACACCAAACCAGATGTCCTTCCTCAAAACGAGACTATTCTTTTGTCTGACAGGTCGCTAGAAACTTCTATAGAGTTGTGGAAAAAGTATAAACAGTCTCCTCAACGGAGGAATATCTTCGATTTTAGATAGCTCGTCGACATGGAAGAAATATATATATATATATTTAAAACAAGTTCACATGTACATCTTGCCGCACGTAATCTTTCTCCGTCCAATCGATTAAAACGCAAAGTTTAACCGTTACTCGTCCGCACACGACGAAACTGATCGGCGCGAGCTTTTTTTTTTTTTTTTTAATGACAGACCATAATCGATGCTCAACTTCCTGACAGCTGCCGGACGCCCGAGTCACGTCCGCACCGAACCGTTTAACGGGGGGGGGAACCCGGTAACAACTTACGTAACGACACCTACGAGTTGCGTTCCGCGCGGAGTTGCTCCGGTAAATGACAGCGTTACCGATGTCACCTAAACACCGTCGCCATTTTGTTACAATGTTGTAGTTTACGCGAATCCGACATGACGCTGATTACAATCCAATGGGAGTCTCATTAAACCTCACCTACGCTAATGCGCCCTCCCCCGGCAACTTCAATATTGGCTGTAAAGGCGAGATCCGATTTCTGGTTTGATAAAGCGCGTGTCAATCTTGGTGCGCGAGCTCACCGCGCGAGGCGCGCCACTGGCTGCGCGAGCTGTCACTTCGCTCGATTGACCCGCCCTCTTAAGGTGCCCCCGCGTGATGAATGGATGTCGCTTAACCCTGAACAACGCTCGTAACGTCCGAACCGCGCGGCTCCGAACCGCAGTGGAGCGACATTACCGGCTCATAAATAAACTATTAAAAAAAGTAAAAAAATAGGGTATAAACTTGCTGAGTGAGGATGGGGTGAGATAAATATTTAACCTCATTTGCAAAGCGTTTAACGCCGGCCCACCTTTACTCGGGTTCCTCCTTGAAACAGTTGGTTACACTTGAAAGTGATTCGGAACATTATAGACTTTAATTGGCTGTTTGTTAAATCTATAGTCTGTTTGCATTAAACAAAAAGCAATTGAAAAAACGCGAATGCTCTAGCGACGGTTTAAAGTGGCACTCAATTATTTGTAAATAAAACAAATAAAATGCCAGGTAGCATATTCAAGACTCCCGCAGGCTAAGCGTGTCTAAGCTATCACCCCATCCTCCCCCTCCTCTCTCTTTATCTTCCTCCCTTTTCATTATTTCCCCGAGAGGAGCCGTAATTCTCCAGATATTTAACATTTTCAACAACGTGACGTTAAATTAACGGCGATAAATAAACCGCAAAGCCCGAGAAGAGAAGGATGAAGAAAAAAAAGTATCTGGCTCCCACGTCTGCAAGCGAAATAATAATAAACGTCCTGTGATGATGGCATGTCCTCTTTTATCACCCGTTAACTATCAAATACCTCCCAATGAGGAGAAACCGTGAGCCCCGGAGGGGAAACGAGACGTTCAGGGGGGAATACAAGTTAACACGACTGCAGGGAGAGAAGCTCCTTCATCACCGCTTTTCAATTATGGATCGCTGGTTTCTTTTAGCTCCCATTTCTCAGCTCGCGCTCCCGTTTCACCCCCATATTTGTATCATTAAGAAACGATACACAGCCTCCTCTGGATTATTCCACGTCGTTTGGTTAAAAAAACAACAACAACAACAAACAAAAAATATAACCGACCCGTGTTAATCCGCCGTGGGCGAGAAGACACACAAAACAAATTAACGCCAAGTTTCACGCGAGGACGGAAGATAACTAGCAGCTTATGAAAGGGAGAAGAAGAAAAAAAACAACCGGTCTGCCCGTAAATATTTTGCCGGTAGTTTTTTCTTCTCTTTTTTTTTTACCTCTTCAAGTTTCTCCCCCCCCCCGCTGCCGCCGCCCCCCCTCCGGATAGTCCTCTTCATTACCGGGGAAACGTCGAAGGACACACGTGCGGCGACGTAAACCGAGCGATTATTTCCCGGGATTTGATCTCTCCGAACGAAGGCTGAGGAGCTCGCGCCGAGACATGGAGAGGACCTGATAACAACTAATTGAAAGGTTAATCTACATAGCAGCCTGTGACAAAGTGGTACCCTCCCCCTTCTTCTTCTTCTTCTTCTTCCTCCTCCACTGTAGACATCCCCACTTCAGCGGAGCGGACCGTCGCCCCTTTAGTGCGCTCCTACAATGATATTGTCACTTTCACCCCCTCCATCTATCGACATGTCCAGTGATGAGCAAGAGGAACATTTTTACACTTGATACTTTTTTTTTTGGGGGGGGGGGGGGGGGGGGTTATATTCTACAGCGGCGAACTAGACCCACATGTGAACACGTGATCTCTGTTTGTGTTTTTTTTTTAAACATCCGTTGATGTGCTCGAAGAAATGAGATCAAATGTGACAAATTGTGCCAGAAGAACATTTTATTTTAAACAGAGCTATTATTTCCCTGCACTGGCCAATATTACCCAGGGCGGTGTGGGATATCATACACTAACACCATAATCTGCTAATTAACTCCCCCGTGCCCGAGGACGAGCAATAGTTGTTGGCATTAATGCAGATCATTACATTTTCAGCCTTTAGATTTGCGCTCGTTTTGCTCACCAACTCTTTGGCAGCATTAGTGATGCCGGAAAGCTCATTTTTCACGCAGTAATTCAAATGTAATTAGAGCGAGATAATTGGTAACTCCCCATCAGATTAGAAACACATACTGTATCATACAGCCTTTAAAAAATACCTCAAAATGAAAACACTCAACCCGTACAAAAGACACAGGAGTACTTTGATTTGTCCTCACGTGTTTGCAGCCTTGTCATTCGGTTATTATGATGCATTAAATGTTCTCATTACCTCCACGGCCTCTTTGATGTTTTCTTTTTATTCACCTGTCTTTTACCCACTTACCAGTGTATCACTCAAGAGTTGTGTTGCTATGGAGTCCTTGACTTTTACCTCCGTCCACTTACTGATCATTTAAGGCAGACGCGTAAAAATACAGTGTCCTATAATTTCGGCGCTGTGGTAGAATTGCGTGAAATGTGAGTAAAAAGGGTTTTCTGATGTGCGTTTAGGACTGGTGACACAATGCAGGCGCTGACTAAACCTGTCTTGTGTCTGGTTATAATGAACGCCACCCGGGGCCCCAGCAGGTCCTCCACTGCTGCACGGGTCCAGGGATAATTTGAATTGGAGCATGTGCCATTGCAATCAAACTCCCCCCCCCCCTCCTCAATCCCTGCCAACTGCCACACTGGTGTTCACAAACACTGCTGCCCATCTGCGGGGCAAAAACACTGGCCGGGACCCCAGTTACTCCTTTGCCTGCATTCACACGCACAAAAAAAAAAACCTGGTCGTAAAGTCACGTTTTGAAAGCAAATATCACACAAGTTTTCCCTCACGCCACTCCAAAGTCCTTCACAGGAGATTACACTCAGAACGGCAAACGAAATGAGATTTTGTATATTGCGGCTACACAATAAAAACAGTGTAAACACTTACAAAAATTGACTTGGGACTCACTCGCAACAGAAAAACAACATAGAATAATAAAATGTAAATTAAACGCAAAGATTTTAGAACTTGTGTTCAATGAGCGGCGCAAAAAAAAGTTTACCAGGGAAAAGTGAGGAAAGTGTGTTTAGTATTCTCCTTATTGTGGCAGGGCTTCTCATTACTTGATCATGGCTCCCTCTTTTTGTGTTTGTGTTTTGCCATCTGTCATCTTGAGAAGCAAATGAACCAGCTGCCATGGAGTGTGATCTTGCCCAATCAGAAATTTGGTCCTTTTCAAAGCGCATCTGTGTGAAACCTTAAAAAATGCTGATGAAAAAGAAAGAAAGAAAGGAAAAAAAAAAGTGTCTCAAAGTTGTTAATAACATTTTGGCTGGAGAATGTTTTCACCGAGGTGCCCCCGATTAGCATAAATGCATAAACTATGCCTCATTACGGGAAGGATCGTCCTCGTCCGGAGAGCGCAAGAACTGGATTTCTCGCATTCTGATCAGAGAAAATAAAAACAAGTTTGATGTAACAGGTGGTTTTAAGAGAACAAAAGAAAAGAAAATGTTCTTCTCGACTCGCAAGTCTTTGTGCAACAGAGGAGCATTGAACTGTTCTTCACAAAACCCTCGAGACACTGCCCAACACTTCTGCTGGCCCACACTATGAGGGGAGGGGCCTCCTCTGATCCTCCAACCCCCACCGACGGCACAGCTGGTTACTTGGGGAGGGGGGGGGGGTATTTCAGCCTAATTTTCAGGTCCCTCTAATGATCGCCATGAAGAGCAAACCACCACTAAACCCTTGGCTGAGAAAAGTGATCTCCTGTAGCCCTGCGATGCAGCTCCAGACCCCCAAGAGTCCAGTTAGGACCCAACAAGCGTGAGCAGGGGGGTGACTGAGCAGAGCCAGGACACCAGGCTGGTCCTGGTCCTGGTCCACCCCACCAGTCCAAGTCCCTCCATAATGGACGGTGTTGAGCTGGCCAAAAGTGATTAGCACGAGGGAGCCTCTGGCTGATTAAACACTGGGGAAATGCACAATCCTTATTGCTGCATTTTATTTTGAGGGTCTATTTTAAAAGAAACTACTGATAAAGCAATTATCTATTCAAATATACGTTTTAATTTGGAATCCGACGACCTTTGTAGGATGAGGTTGATAATGTTTTATTTGTGTAACAAAAGATTCCACAGAATAACAGCTGCATATTAAAGGCAATCCTCCACTGAAAATGTACTATAATATTGATAGTATGTAGTTTCATTCTGGAAAATATTCAACATGAGGATCAATAGCAGATGATGCAGCAGGGAGCGTTTGACAGGTTTTCTATGGACCTTTTTCTTAGGTCACCATCATAATCGATTGGTACTTCTGTGAATTGAAGTTGACTACAGCTGCAGTCCTTCACAAAAGGAGCACAAAAAAAGGCACATCAGTTTAGAAACTTCTCAAATCTTGCAGTAGAATCAACTTCTACACCATGTGTCCATTACTCCGGATCCTAACTATGGTCTCTCGATGGTGGGGAAGCGTTGGTAAAGGACATCTTGAATCCTTTGTATATTCAGGCCTGTAGGCGTTTAATTTTTGATGCTCAAAACAAATAGATTTTCACCAAAATGCTCCTTTAAACATTTTATTCCAATACTTGACACCAGCACACTTGAATTGTATTCAAACATCTGAGTTGTATTTTTTAAAGCTTGATAGTATATCCAAGCTGTAGAAGCTAGTCCCATGCAGTGAGTCGCTGTAAATAGAAAATAAAAACGTATATAAAATCCTGAAGCGTGCATATACGAGTATCTCGCGGAACAGATATATGTGCGGTGCTCGGACGCATCAGTGGAAGTCCGGCCTCTCGGGGAAGGTGCACCCGACCCGTCGGATGATGACGTTGGCGGCGTAGTGTCCGGCCCGGATGCACTCCTCCAACGCCTGCTCCTGGACCAACGCAGAGAGGAACCCTGGGTGGACAGAAGAGCAAAAGAGATCAACGCCCTAAGCCCTCCATCGCCTCCGAAATGGCTCGGGCAGCAGTTATCATTAACACCAGCCGGGTGTTAATGTTTTCCGGGTAAAAGGACATTGCCGTTTCATCCTCAACGGGACCCAAACGGTGACACTTTTAATGCCGCGCTGCGATCAGCTCATACGGAGTGAAAACAGCAGGCTTAATGTCACGCTCATATAATCTGGAAGCATTACTGTGTTACATGGTTGGCCGGTATCAAAAGGTTAATTGGGATTGGACACATAAATCAAGCTGTGTGGGGATGAATTTCATGGCTTACCTCCCACAAAGGCGTCTCCGGCTCCGTTTGTGTCCACGATATCGTTCTGGTCGATGTCCAAAACTGGGAACATCGTCACCTCATCGCCTGTGGTCAGGACACAAGAGAGCTCTTCGGTAAAGTGGAACGCCACCGAAGCTGAATATGAAAGTCTTGTTATGGAACTACAAGACACACTAGTCCAAATAATGAAAGCTATTATTTTAAAATAATAGTGTTAAAAAAATAATCTAGTGGTACTCATACTTCTAAAGATTAATCATAATCAGCTTAACTTATCATCAGTTAAACTTCTATCATAAATATTTCAGTTTAAGAACAAACACTGCCGGTGTTTTAGAGCCATTGCTTACTAATAAAGCAAATGAACGATTATGCTAATGTGACCATTCCAAAGGATAATTGTTTCAGTCTACCAAATATGAAAAACAGTGAATTATCACCTTCAGTACCTAAAGCCCAGATTACTTTTTCACATATTTTCTTTTGTTCGACCTGCAGTTCAAAACCAGTGAATATTTTGAATTTTGTTTGAATGACTCTCAATGATTCAACAAATGTTTCTTCTCTGTTGCAGACAAATGCATTATTAACCACGGGTCCGGTAAAAATAACTCCAGCAACTATATGTTCGACTACGGAACACTTAAATAAAAAAATGCAACGACATGAGCCGTTTGAATAAATAAATGATCAAATAATAATATTTTTAACATCTCTATGCGATTCCTGTGATAATTAGAGTCCAAAGCCGTTGAATCCATTCAACAAAGTACCCCTTATTGTCTTCGGTGTTCTACGTTGCTTCAATTATCAGTAGCATATGCACCTAATAGGGCCTTCCAGTTAAAAGGGAGGGGGGGGGGGGGTCTGGAGGTGTAGACTGACATTGTATCAGCAACTTACGTCAGAACAATCTAAACCACACACACAATCTTCAAACAATCTGAGGGCTCTGGTGGAGCCTTCAAAAAGGTGCAGGAGACAAAAGACTGACATGTAGATAAAAGGAACACAAGGAGGCTGACAGACCTCTTATTGAGCAAAAGAAAAAGGTTAGAAGTTAAAGGAGAACATGAGGAGGGGGGAAAAAAACTACAAAAAGTTCTTTAATGAGGCTTCCTGCTAATCCAAAATGGCTCAAAGAATATCCGTGCTGCCGATTAGACCCCCTCCCCGCCTTATCAGTTTTTAATACATTCCTGCTCTCGACCTGCGGGGCAGAAGATACACGACCTGTAGCTGAGCACACGCTCAACACCTGATGTCAGGGACATTACAGGAACCAGCCGTGAGAGAAACTGCATGCAAGTTTCTTAAAAGAGCAGAAAGGGACTGTGTAACAGGTCAGGTACCCAAGATGTGTTTGATTAAATTGTAATGAGACACTTTCCTTATTAAAAGGAAAGCAGGAGATTGCATTTTTTGATAATAAATTACAGTAAGACAAGAATCCTTTTAAGATCAGCTAATTAGTAGCATAACGACTTTGCTTAATTAATGCCACAGACGAAGCTTGAAAATCCTCCTCCCTCTTGAAACGATTAACGGCAATGGAAAATGTGCTGATAATAAATTACAGTTATGTCACCTACTCTACTGTGGCCGTGGTTACGCGATGCACTTTGCGGCTGTAAAAGCAGATTATTCAATCGTTGAAGATGACGCACTTGTTCCGTAACGATTCTGCTGTTTATTCGCCCTTGATGAGATACACATAAGGTAAGTAAGTAATGGTGTCAATATGTTTATGCCGGTTAAAAGAAATAGTTTCTCTCTCAAGTACACGAGGCGTCTGGTCTTATTGCCACCAGGTAAAGGTTGTGCACATGTCAACATATGGATTTAAATTTCAGCATTTAAGAGGCAATGCCTTTCAACTTTTTTCTGACCGACTTACATGGCTGCTTGTTGATCTCATTTCCCAAATTCTGTGGAAACTGTTTTCAAAAAGCGCAGCAGACGTCCAGTATTTCTCTTACTTCGACCGTTAAAAGTTTGTTCTCTGCTGCAGGGCTAAAAGTTCACATGAACTCTTGCAAATTATTTAATTTGACTGACACGTTCGCTCGGGTTTCACTCCCAACGATTCCCCTGCGGCCGGTAACAAAGACCTCATTGGCAAAAATTGGTCATGGAAACGGCAATAACAGAAAAAACTCTTGCCAAAATAATCGCACTCTGTTGTTACTGGCTTGTAAAACCTCTGAAAACATCACTTCGCTGAACTCATTTCCCTGTAATGACACCGGTACAACATTATTCCCAATCAATAAAACTCTGCTGTACTTTTTAACTCCAGAATATTCTTGTTGCTAAAGTTTAGGTTGACAAGAGGGAGCGCAGCAGCACATTGGCGGTGGATACGTGGGAGGGTGGAATGCTTTTGACAGGTAACCTGCAAGAGAAGGGAATAAAAAAAAAAAAGCCTACAAGGAATTCAAATACTTTCTTTGAGTGAGCTATAATTGTGCTTTTGTTAATACGCTCTTCATAATTCCCTCATTACAACTCTTGAATGATGGTGATTAAACTTAAGAAATTCTTTGAAATGAATATCAATTAAGTCCTTTATTATTGGCTATTATTTTAAACAATGGCCATTTGCTGACTGAGAAAAAGGCCTCCTGTTTAAAAAAAAAAAAAAAAAATACTGTACATTTAAACAACCTCTGCTTTATTGGAAAATGAGCATATGGAGGGTTGTTCTCACTCTTCAACCATGACATGCTCCCCTTGGTTGTGTTCCAGCGCTCACTATTGCTGCTTTGACAGAAAGCAGGTAGATCACACAACAATAAGCCGGCACATCATTAAAATGAACTTTGATCCTGTCACACTTTATCAGCTACACGAGTGAAACAATCAATGCATGACGTTAAATCCTAAGCCGCTAAATGACGGCGAATCACACGCGACTGTTGAGCTCAGAAGGCGTGATCTAACGTACTCGGCGTTTAAGTGCAACATCTCTAATGTGAAACCCTTCCCCGAGAATACTTCTCCTCCTGGAATGTTTCCTGTTGCATTCCGGCCAAACTGTGAGCCTCGCGGAGGGAAACAAGCGTTACCGCGTTCTTGGCAAACCTCGGCGGGCTGCGAGCGAGTCGACATTCAATCCGTTTCCCTATCGTTACCAGCATCTTTGCTCACAATTGAGTTAGAAAGGAAAATTACATATGCCTGTAATTACTGTAACCACAGGCAAAAGATCATCGCCAACCAATATCCTTTCAGAGAGACATGAAAGAAAACACTTCAACTTTGAGATGCCGGGGGAGAAGCGAGCAGATCTTTCTCATGAAGTATAGAACATAAACATCCCGCTTTTCAAACAGACTACCGGCTGCATGGAAACATCTTCCATTGCAGTAGTTCTTTTAATCATTCTGCAGCGTTTAATCTACCGTAACTTTAGGGAGGATAAACCTTTAACAAAAAAAGGAAAAGAAAAAAAGAGCCTTTAGTTGCGTAGCCGGCATTCGCTCCTCAGTCTACACTGTGTGATTAACATGTATGGATCAGGTCTTTTATTTTCAGCCCTCTTAAGAGCTCTAAAACTCACGGAGAGCAGAGTCAGGCTTTATCAAGTCCTTATCAGCGATTACGGCGGCAAACCCCCGCTGAATGATCGTTTATTAGATCGCATCACCGTTAAGGTTTAGTGCACAGTGATCTTAATTACCGCTTTAATGGGCGTATAAGCAAAAGCCCAGTGTAGTTCAGCCGTGTCAGTGGCAGCTAAATAAAAAGGGAAACTTCCCCTGCTCCTCTCTAAATGAAGGGGAGTTTAAAAACAAAAAGAACAACAAATTGACATCTTTTTTTGGGGGAGAACTACACCACAGAGGGAGGCATTCTTCCATCCTTAATCACTATAAAATGGTTTAACATGACATGCAGAGGCTGGAAAATGATCAAGTCCTGACAGGAGGACAAATTGCAAACAAAATGAGAGATCAAGTTTATTAGAGCGCCGCCTCTGGGAAATGAAAATCTTTAATTCTCTTTTTACATTGACATTTATTTGGCAGGCATGAACACGCGGTGTTCACACGCAGGAGCTTGATGCACCTTGTACTGCAACCGCTCCGCCGCAATGACATTTATCATGTTTGCCTTTGTAGATGACATCTGAAACACATTGTCTTTCATCCCACCTGCATTCGTCATGTATTTTATATAAAGTTCACAGCGGCGCGCGCGGCGCTTCGTCTTCGTGCGGGAGGAATGAGGGAAGCAGGCGGGAATTATCCATCACCTCCAGCACAATGGATTGATTCCTTTTCTCTTTAACTGTCGGGCTCCGGCGTACAGATTTCATTTCAAACTCCCATAAAAAGGAAAAGCGATTCCAGAAATTCAACTTCGAATATGTAATTGACTTCATAATGATAAATGTTTTTAATTACGGCTGGGAAATGAGGATGAATGTCCGCCTGATGCATTGATTTCCAATATCTCAGATAAGTTTCTGTTCTCCAGCTCGGGAGGAAAATATCTGGGCCCTCTAGCCGCTAATGTGTTGCTAAAGTAGCCTCGTGCATCTGCAAACAAGCGGCATCAATCGAGGCCCGTAGACACGCGTGTGAAAACGGTCGCTGTGCTGCTCGGCCGTCCCCGGTGATGAGTGGTGCGTTGGGAGTCTTCACGTGAGGCCACCTCTCTCTCCCCCGTGCTAACTACTCTCAACTGCAAGGGCAACGAGGACAGACACCCCGGGGCGCCGAACAAAGGCAAAGGCTCCCGGCAGTAATCGGAAACCTATCGCCTCGACCTGAAACCCCTGCCCAGTTATGATGACACTGCCCTTTAACGTCGTCCAAATAAGAAATGCGCCCGAATCAAAAGAGATCGGATTGATTCGAGGACCGACATTGTCAACCTCTCCCCAAAGTTCCCCTCAAGGCTCTGCCAGCATTTTGCTGGAAGAAAAAAGGGCAGGATGTAAGAGTTAAAGTATTAAAGTTGCTGAGGACCGGCCTGGAGTCTGTCCAAGACAAAGTTAGAAGTACTTCACAAATCAATGCCTGCTCTCTGCATCCCCCACACTTCTTTTAAGCTCCGAAATGTCAGAACGTAGTGCAAGCATTCTCTTTTTTTAACATCTGGTGTCAATACTTCAGGTTAACTTCAAAGAAATTACTGATAGCATTTTGCTCTCTACCATCTATTTGAGGCTGCGTTCTGCAGATCTGAGATATGAGGTTTAAGTTGAGGGTAAAGACGTCCAAAAGGGCCCAAAAGTTGGGACGGCTTTGACTGGTACTCAAGTGGAAATGGGTGCATACCAGCAGACAAAAACAAAGATGGCCTACCAACAGTTGCGACCGTGTCCTCCTTGCCCTGCGTGAAGACCACCACTCGCTGCCTTTTGGTATTCTCCTTGGGTAGATTTTGGGTCTTGTTCGCAATCTCTGCGATGTCATCAGTCTGTAAAAAAAAAAAAAAAAAAACACACCAAGCCACTGGGTGACCAATGGGGAGTCCAGGGGAGAGCAATTTCTGAGAAGTTCATCAAAAGATCACGACTGTGACTGAGAGGGGTCTGATTGTTTTTTTTTTTTTCTTCAATTAAGTGACAATAAAACCAGATGGCCAATGAAAAAATGCTTCAAAAAAGATCGATGGGAGCACTCAGGGATGTTTCCATGCAGTTACTGGAGAGCTTTAAAATATTAGAATGTCAAATTCCCTAAGTGAGATGGAAATGAGCGTGTGAAGATATGCTGTTGTCAGATAAAGGCCCTTGTGAGCTGAAGGGACAGGCGGTGCGTGCACTGTATTGTTTCGCTTTTCCTGAAACAGGCCATCGCTCTCTCTCTCTCTCTCCCCCTCAGCATCTGCACAAAATGGATATTCTCGCCTGGAGACGACAGAACTCTCCGGAGTGGTTGCCTTTGATCATGAGAGGGATAAAAAAAAAAAAACGGAAAAAACCCACACCTGTCAGTGGTACTTTATTATTAACTCATCATGATGTACTATGAGCAGGTGGTATGTCTTTATAGCTCGTCTCGCGGTGGGGCGGACAACGCGGCACGCCGAGGAGCTTGCATTAAGGGGCCGTAGACGCCTCGAGCGTCTTTGTCAGGGCGAACACTTTGGGGCGATCAAATACTGTGTTTATGGGAGTAATCAAGGGAGAGAGAGATGGGCGACCGACCCAACGCCGGCCACGCCGGCTCACTCAAACCAATGAGCTTCTACGCCTCCAAATGCCTCCCAAATGTCCTTTAATCAGCCCTGAGAGGTCCGGGGAGACCCAGAGCCGAGGAAAAATGGGGGTAACACTCAAAGTAAGTGCTAATGGTGAGGTTAATACAGCGGTTGTTAGCAAGGGAATGTGTTAAAAAAAAAAAAAAAAAAGAGGCAACTTGTCACTGTGACTGGATTTAACGACAAGCACTCCTGGAGACACTGAATGCAAAAAAAAACAACCACGCGAGGCTTCGGCACGTTGTCACCCTTCGGTTTTATGTTCGCCGGCATTAAAAAGGCGGTCTACTCGAGTTTTGGCTCTCAGGGCGAAGCCACTCACACATAAACACTCACAACACACAATTACCTCCATTTGGCCTCACACACACACACACACACACACACCTGACAAGTTCCTCTGTTCCTCTAACCTGAGTGCAAAGCAAATGAATTGACAAATGATATGGTCTATTTAGTTTACTGCTGACAAATGGCAATATTTACAATTTTGCGGCAATTGATCAGACATGAATCAACAAAGCGTGAAAACTAAAAGCTTCACAAGGATGTTAAAGCCGGTTTCTGTGTTGGAGCCGGTGGGAAAGTGATCATCTCCACTGAAGGCTGTTTGACAAACACTGCCAGCGAAAGATTCAATCAGAGCTGCCACGGAGACGGTTCTTTGAGCATTTAAAGGCAACAGATCACAATCAGGACACTGGTCTCAGATCCGCTGATTGCTGTTTGCGAAAGGAAAAGCTTTTTATCTCCCATTTACACAGAGGAAGAGCCGCTTCTCCTTTGTACTGATAACAGTGTTTCAGAACCCATTAAACGGGCCTCATGTCAGATACTGAAAACTGGGAAGCTACTAATAACATATTCAAGTATAATTTAATTGCGCAGCACAAACCAATTAATTGGACTTTAAATTAATTTAAAAGTAATGCTTCTTTAGACTTGTTTTGTATATCTGGATGATATGAAGTCTCAGCTTTTCTTTATCGTCTTAAAGTAGTATCATTTTTTTCAATTGTGTTATCATTTTGATGAAGCCTAATTGCTTCATATTTGATTTTGAACAATGATGTCAAAAGCTTTACTCTGATTTGTAATGCAGAATTTGCTTAGATAGATAATAATAGAAGTTATTTAATTAAATATAACATGAATTTGGTCTGATAAAAGAGTCTTACCCTAAGATCAATCCACTTACTGAAGATTTTGTGGAGCTTTCAGCCGCGTCTCCTGACGCTTCGGTGGATGGAGTTTGCTCAGTTGTCATGGAGACAGTTTGAATTTTGGTCACATGATAACAGGTGGTCGGATGCGACGCGAGAGACCATCCTTTAACAATCTCCATGACAACTGAGGAAACTCTTTCTGCCTATGAAAGCAGGATAAGACAGGATAAGACTGAAAGCTCTGGAATATTGCCACAAAGTGGATCTTGTGCTAAGAATCTTTTTTATTTGCATACATTTTTGATTAATGCTGTGATTTCAACCCATTGGAAACATTGTATACCAGCGTCAGAAAAATATCCCTGTCATGCAAATTGAAAGGATTTCCACTATATCACCCAGAGTTATTCCGAACTTGTACTCATTAAAAGAATAGTGTAGCACTGGTTTAACAATGTAATTGTTCTTTCCTGCTCTTATCCGGTTCTAGAAACTACTGTAGTGTGTATTCATTGATATCTTGAAGACTTGTCAGTGAACAACTAAAGACTCAGGGTAAAATTGTCATCGAAAGGTAATGAGAGGAAAAAGGCTACTGTGAAGAGCCTCTTTCAACTACAACCATCTAGAAAAGTATCTGAGAAATCACATTCATCTAATGCAATTTTTCAGAGTGTTCTGGCAAATCAGATTGACATGGAAAATGTCAAAGAATGTGACAACTAGACTCTTTGCCCTTTGTGTTTCCTTTTTTTTTTTTTTTTCATGCGAGGCCCCCCCCCTTCTTTTCCTGCCTTCATCCCTTCCCTTCTCCTCTTTTAAACCTGTCACTGCCACCAGGACTGCATTTCTATTCCAGTCACGTTGATCACACCGTTAGTGATTCTGGATGACAATTATTCACACAGTGCAGAGTCTGAAGGCAGCTCTACCTTTGAAAGAGAGAAGGCACTTAAAATACCTGAGCCCATTTAAAACACACACACACGCACACACACACACGCACGCACGCACGCACGCACGCACGCACGCACGCACGCACGCACGCACGCACGCACGCACGCACGCACGCACGCACGCACGCACGCACGCAGAGGGAGAGCGGCTATTTGTGCTTTTTGATTTCACATTTAAATAGCAGCGAGGGGAATATGCAAAAGGCAGGCAGAAAATAGACCACGGGAACATTCATTACACACGTAAGAGGCAGCCCCACTTTAAAGCACATTCTATGGGGAAACAAGCGCTGTAATTATCATTTCCATAATTTTAAACCACAGGTGGCTTTAATTTGGTTATTAAAAGACTACAGTGTGTTTCCGCGTGGTGTAATGCCACAGCAGCGAAGGGAAGACGTACAGTGTCAACCCCCGAGTGCAATGAGGATAATGAGGAGGCTTTTTAACCTCAACCTGATGAGCCCCGAGCCTGCGGAGAAAGGCTTGAAACCATGCCCAACTTCTCAGCTTCCCAAGAGGCTTTTCAAAATTCAATAAATAACATCTGTAGGCGATGTTGGGTGCAGACCTAGCAGAGTGCGTCATAACAGAGAGCTGGCTGAACAAAGAAACCATGACGACTGCCAGGTTTCCATAGCAACTGCTGCAAGGCCTGGAGAGTATAATAGCACATCAATCACTGTCCAAAAAGAACTTCATTATCAGCAAAAAATAAACCTTTAGGATCTGTTTAGTGCACAATTGCCGGTCAACTCACCTCAAAGCCGAGCTCTTTGGCAAATGTGGCCGCCTCCTAGAACAGAGGAAAGAAACACACAAATGAGCAGTTAATTGCAGAGTGACAAACGGAGCGCAGTGTCACACTCCAGACCCGAGGTATAGACAGCTCTCTCCCCTCCGCTCCTCACATGTGCGCCCGTGTCACTTGAGAATAAGTAACCCGAGTTAGCGTTGCTCTGCCAACCCCTGATTTAATAGACATGCAGCCCACCCATTTAATCTATTGCCCCCACTTCATCTCATCTTACCACGGCAGCGTGAGGCAGAACCACGTCAGCCTCCAGCCACGAAACCGCCACTGAAACCATCAATATGTGCTGGTCTGTGGGAATCCCCAACACTGGAGGCATTCAACACCCACCATCGTTCTTTAGTCTCCCAACAGGTGCACTGTGAAACTATTTCTATATCCTCTGAAAATACTTTTCAATGTAGGTCTTTTAGGTCACAATACATGGTCAAATGAGATAGAACAAAATCATGAAATCAGGTTTAGTTGTTGAAATATACTGTGGTTTATGGATGTAGTTTTCAGGCGGCCTTTGGTTCCCATCCGAAACAACCATTCAAACAACCAACTACCTACATAAGAAAAGTTAGGCATTAATTGCGAGGCTAAAACACATTATAAGTCTGCTGATGCTTCTTTACATATTGATTGGAAGATGTACACGCGAACACAATGCATAGTTGTGTGCATCACGCATGTTCAGCTAAACATGAAATAAACTAAACAACCATAACAGTGTTTTTAGGACGTCTCATGGTCTCCTGGATTCCTCACATTGTGCATGAATTAATGAATAAAGTATGCTTACACACCAGCATGGTTCGCAATATGTTTGGCTGTGATGTCCAATATGTCATTTGTAAGCCAACCCCCCCCTCCCCCCCTCTCCAGGAAAAAAGGGAGAAACTGGCAACATCCTATAACTGCAGACTGAAGCTGTTGCTTCTCGCTTTAGAGCGATGACACGAATCATGACAGACAACCCCGTGCACTAAACTGACTTTTGACCCCAGGCGGGGCAATAAGTTGTTGCTATGATTCTAAACAATCCAATTATCTGCAGAAGGGGGGGCTGGTATTTGCGTGACCTTGGGAAGAGGTGGACAACCTGGTCCTCAAACAGAAGGGGAGGAGATGACATGGAACAATAAGGTTACCGGTCCCTGGAGGGAAGCCTCATGGCTCCTCGCTTGGATCAACAACCCAGCGGCAGCAATATGTCAATTCCCCCCCCCTCCCCTCTACTCCTTCACCACACACAGGGGCAAAGAGGCTAGTCAATTAGCCGCTGTGGTCAAGAAGCAGTTTTATAATGAGTAAAGGTGAGCTGTCCTTCTCATTCCTCTGTTTTTCTTCAATCTATTCAGGGCTTAGGGCTCACATTTGTTTTTCATTTATTTACAACCACGTATTGACTTTTCTCCCCAGGAAGGTTCCATCACCAGTGAGCATCTCACAGGGACACAAGAAGCTTTTATTTGGGGAAAATGTCTCGACCAAAAAACAGCGATATTTTCTTCTGGAAGCATTTAAAAGAGACGCACGATTTAAGGCTGGATTAATGATGGTGCTGTTGAGCAGCACATGCCTTTATCTCTCCCTCTGTCTCTCTCTAGTTAGCAGCTATAGTATTTGGGAGAAAAGCCTTTGGAGAGAGTGTGGGTGTTAGAAGAAAAGATAATTGAAGCGATGTCTATGAGCCACATGTGTACGGCGTAATCCCTTTTAGGAACTTATTCATTTCTATGAGCTGTTATGAATTCCACCACCCAAAAATACTTGGTACTTTAAGCTCAGCTAAAGCTAATATATTAATGTATTGGTACGAGAAATACTGCACGGTGGTAAACATGCAATTACTGGTACTACAAAAGGTATAAAGGTAACAATTTCTTCAAGTGTTTACGGCATTTATACTCAAGAAGCGCATGTTTCAGGCCGTCTATGTTTCACATTTGACATGTGCCGTTTTGGTATGTTGTGGTAGACGGTTTTTAAATGGCGGTCCATGTGCCTCTGCAGCTGTCGCAACAATGACGAGTGCTTCGAGTGACATCTAGGCGAATCCGCTCGTGCTCCCCCCCCCCCCAAAAAAAAAGGCATCTCGTTTGTTTCGGGAGATTGCCGTGATTGCGCGCTCGCCTTCCATGATCCGCTCCGGGTCCGATTCCGCGGGAGAGGGGACTGTTGCAGATTTCAGGGGGGGTGGAGAGGGGGGGGGCTCTCCTCCTCGGGCAAACAAGGTAAAAGATAACAAGGCGGGCTGAGAGCATGAGCCCTCTGCAGCCATCGTTAGTATAAAGCTATCAGAGTGTGTGAGATGTTGCTGCTGTCACAGGCTTAAACAGTCAAAGGGATATTTTTAGAGAGCTTAAGCTAATAATCCAGAGCCCAGTAAAAAAGAGGGTGGGGTCTACAATTTAGTGCCAAAAATGAAAAAGGGAATACACGCTTCCTGGAAGGGGCAGTTCTCAGAAGCTTCACACTTGATGAAGTTACCCATGCTGCATGAACATAAGTATCGCTCTTTTAGTTAAGATAACCACTAAATACATGCATTCCGTCTATGGTACCTTCTCATAAACAATAGAGTAAGAGTAAATAGGGCGGGGCTACAGATAATATAACGACAATCCAACCCTGTGGTTAAATGTAGGTCTTAGATCGCCATGGTGGATGAAAATATATGAATTCAACTAGAGGTTTTCATTGGTTCTCATGATAAAATGTTGCCAGTTACAAACCAAATCAAGCATTTAGTTTTTCCTCCTCTGTGAAACAAGCTGTTGAACATATGTCACAGCAGGGGTGAGACTCGAGAAAAAAAAAAAAGAAGAAAAAAGAAATCCAATTTCGGTGTTTCCAGAAGAATCTAAATCAAAGAGCAAACCTCAGTGCTAAGGTTAATAAAAGCTGATAAGCTGAAAAGCATAACTCCCCAAGGCCATTCAGAAAATAGGCATTTGCTTGACCGTATTGCCCCGAGCTGATGCTGAGGCAGAAATTGAATTGTATTTGACATCGTGTGTCTGTGCGTGTGTCTGTGTGTGTGCGTGTGTGTGTGTGTTTTGGGGGGTAAGATACAAAGAAAAAGGGACACAGCCCTGTTATTGTTATTTACAACAACAACCCCTGTTTTCCTCTTCATTCCCGGGCATCTCACTACACGTTCATGTCAAGGACATCAGAGCGTCCCGCTTGGAACCACGTACTCCCACGCATGGAGGATCGACTTGGTAATAACAAAGCCGCCTCAGTGGGAACTTGGGAGGAGAGAAGATGATCAGGGCCGAACCGATCAGACGAGCTCGATCACCTTCTGTAGAAGCTCTTCTGCGGCCAGCGGATAACTAAGCATAACGCGACGGCGTCGGCGGGACTGTCGGTGCCCTTGGCTCGGCTTCGGGGGGGTCACAAAGACGCCACGCCCCCCCCCCGCCCTCCGACAATCTGCCGCCGAAGGAGCGAGCCGCCACGTCAAAGATATGCGGGCCGCTAACGGCCGCGGGTGACTATTAATACGATCGCGCGAGCTGATGGCATCTCACTCACGCCTGCTACAGTGCAGGGGCCGATTAGGGGGAATAAATCACCTGTGCTGAGCACTCCTGCAGCTCCCAGGAGAACGCGGCAATCCCGCTCAAGCGTGACATGCCAGAAAACATGGGGGTAAACACACCCACGCACACGCACGCACGGCAACACAAGGAGTTGCTTTTACAGCCTCTGGGAATTTACTCAACAGCAACTGATGGCATTTTACTTTAGTTTCACCGAGACATTAAGTGGCATGTTTCATCTCTGCCTCGCTGTTTCCATCCTTGGGGGTGTGATCGCACAGCTTCTTCTTCTGTGCACAGAAAGTTGAGCCGGATTCCAAATGAGGACTTCCGTTAACTCGCAAATGTTTTACGTTAAGTTTGTCTCCTGTCAACGTCTTCTAAAGCAAAGGAGGAGCGAGAAACACCTTCAGGCGTTAGAGACTTTTGAAATTTCTGAATAATTCCATTATTTCTAACTTTTCCTTTAAATCCACTGTTTACCAGATGGGGTATTGTTGTGAAGTGGAGCATTTACATTAACAATACCTCTTGCGGTGCATTAAATCATTCAAATGTAGTATCTGCTGAATGATTCATTTAAATGATATGTGTATGTTTTCTACATTGTAACGACAGCTACATAATGCAAACTTACGGTTAACTCACATTAAAAATAAAATATGTTTTGTGACCTCTGGCTCTGAATTATGAAGATGTAGTCAGAACAATGATGCGCTGCACAAATGCTGGATAACTTTACCAACAGACTTACTTTATTAAACTAATTCAGCAACTGATGAATGCTAAATGAAAAGCGCAGCCTGACGAGTCGGCGGCGTTTTTCCACTTAATACTAACTGAGGCCTAATGCACACCGCGCACTAAATCAGTAAGGACTGCTTACTACCTTTTAAACGAACGATTAAGTATGTATTAAGTATTTCACCAGCAGACTGTTCACACTATGGGTTCGCTGCAGTACGCTTGAGGGCAGTGTGGGAAATCTTCAAAATCATTGGAATCTTTTTGGAGGGAGGCCCGAGGGAACGTCGGTTTAGCCTTCTCTTTCTTGCTGCACTTAGAAAGCTTTGGAGCTGGTGCTGCCAGCTATTTGGGTGTTTGGTTTGAGTATTTTCCGAATTGCTCAGGATTACCAACCTTAGCTCTAGGAGACGGCCTTTGTAGGAAATCTACTATCTAGTTGGCGGCCCCGGGGCTTTCTACCTTGCATATGACCAAGTGAAACCGCCAGGTCGCTCTCGACAGGCATCTTTTTAACCGTTACCGAGAATCAAGCTGAACCGGAATCAAGGAAATAACCAAAAATAACTGAGATTTGAACTTGAATGCAGATGCCTGGTTGGCGTAAGCTTTCATGTGACCAATTTCAACAGTGCCCTTTCCTGCCAGGGCATTACACACTTTTAGCAACGGCCTCTGCTCCCAAATATCTCCGTCTGC